AAACTGGAGTCTAACAATATTACTCTGTTAGAGATCGTCTATTATCTATTGTGACAGAATTGTCTCTCTATTTATATTATCATAATGGGAATGCTTTATGGAAAATCCTTTATAAGGCTTGTTGTCTCGGGATATGCTGCCACTATACTACGTCAGTGATGAATCATGTCTCACCTCTATAAAATGAGTTTCAAATTTATTAAGTGAATGTGTAAATATTTAGGTCATTGAAATGGAAGTTATTAATTATTAATCTCCTTTTCTGAAGACGTGTATATCTCAAATCACAAAACACATTAAGAATTTCTTATTCTGTTATTTAATCAGATATAAATCTCCATTTAGCAATTTCAAAATCTTACCAAATTATTTGTCTTACATAAATCTTATTTTCTTTATTTGAAAACGAAATTTGTTTATATATATATATATATTTATATATATAAATATACATAATCGATATTTATACTATTCCACTACAAAGCGTTTTTTTTGTTTTTTTTAACCAAAAAGGGAAAACTTGCCAAGATCTTGACTTGCCAAAAATGTGTCGCGTGGGTGCAGCAGTTCAACTTCTCGCCTGTCTGCAGGCCTACCGGCCTGCCTGATCCGAAAATGTTGAGACTACACTCTGAGCTTTCGTTTTTCTTTGTTATTCACGCAAAATCACAGACCAACGCACTGCGAAAATTTGCCGCTAAAAAGAATTCGCAATCATTGTTGAGTTGAACAGCGAAAGAAGCGAAAGCGTGCATGCTCTTATAAAGAAGTAAATAGCAGTAAATTAATTCGTAGTATATAGTCTGACTTACGGATTATCAATATCAGCAATTCGATTTACTTTTATTGACACCACAGCACAGCAATAAATATGCGGGAAATGCAAGTAAACACTGCTTTTTTTTTGTTTTTTTTGTTTTTTTTTGTTTTTTTTTTAAAGCGATATCAAACCCTTTACACAATAACAACAACACTACTGCATAAATTCTTATTGGATTTCACTGGCAATAAAAACTTGTTGCACATTTAATACTTTTGAAATAAATTCTTCTCTCCGAAACACTTTCGTTGTACATTAATCAATCATTTATTTGAATTTACTTCCATTTGAATTTATGCAAAATTTGTACAAATAAACAATTCATGCTTTTAAAAATTATAAAATGACATTTTTTTTTATCAACAATTCGCAGGAAACCACTTCATTTCGCTTTAAACTTCCCGTTACGACTGCGCTCTCATTGCTTGGTCACATAATTTTGTTCTTCTGGCTCTGTGTGGTTTTGTTGTTGTTGTTATTGTTGTTGTTGTTGTCATTGTTTTCTACTTGAGTTCTTTGTGTGATGTTCTGTTCTTGTTTTTTGTTTTTTGTGTTGTTCTTATTTGAAAACTAAAACAAAAACAAAAACAATAATAAAAAGTAAAAACAAAACAAGTTAAAATTTAACCAGTCAATTTTGTCTGAAAGCATTCACAATAAGATAAAAATCTACTGCGAATTTATTTTATTAATGTTTTTTTTTTTTTGAATTAAAAATTTGCTTCAGCAATAAAATTTAAAAAAGCAAATAAATTTGTTTTTAAAAAAAGTATTAATAAAAATACAATAAAGTTTAATATTTTTATATGATATTACAACAAACACATTATAAATTCCTACTATAGATATTTTGTACTAAGTCTACTAGAACTGAAATACATACATTCCACATTCCACTCACTCACAAATTCATTCAAACGTTCCTTCTAAACATTCACTAAAAGTGTGTTTTCCTTCACCCCCGCCCGACTATCTGCGTCAAATGATAAGCAGAGACATGACCATACTTATCACTTCACGGTTGACCTGATAGATAGTCACACTTCCCGAAGTCTGATCAACTTAGCAGAATCTAAGCAGATGTGCGTAAGCATATGCCTCTAAGCCTGGAATACAGACATCACTCACTCACTCACACATTCATTCAATCGTTCCTTCTAAACATTCACTAAAAGTGTGTTTTCCTTCACCCCCGCCCGACTATCTGCGTCAAATGATAAGCAGAGACATGACCATACTTATCACTTCACGGTTGACCTGATAGATAGTCACACTTCCCGAAGTCTGATCAACTTAGCAGAATCTAAGCAGATGTGCGTAAACACTCGCGTCTTACCAGAAATCATAGATACTCTAGTTTGACATATGCAGAGATCTACTGAGGTTGTATTCTTAACCCGCCACCACACGGTGTAGCCTACTGATAAATCTTCTTAAATTTGAATTAAACTTACACACACTAACAAGTATAGAAAACCATTTCGTATTTACAAAAACTCATACCAAATTTACTAAAATAATTTTATATTTTTATTATTGATATGAATGATCAGGTAATTGAATAAAATATAAAGTTTTCCATTGCACATAACAAATAAATTGATCTCTAATTTCTCTGTAATTACTCTTACACATCTGCAACAATATGGTATTAAAGATTTCAACAATGATTCATCTCAAAATCAATAATAGCACGATCAATTTTTCAACAACTCTAGTAAAATCTGTTTGTTTAATCTGTTAAAATCTTCCTAATATTAGGAATCCTCCTGATGAAGGCAAAAGCGAATTTGCCGAAATACGTATAGAATTATACTAAAAAATAACGCACGAAATAAAAGTTAACATTCTTAAAAAACAAAACAGATTTTAATAAAAATTTCGACGTAACAACTCAAAAAATTAATAACAAAATTAAACTCTAGTAACTTCAACGTCAGACATATCAACTTAAACTTCACTTTCGCACTTAAAATATCACTTTCAGGCATTCCCAACTAAAAAATGCCCATCGAAAGCACAACCAGCTTGTGTGTGTAAACTGTGAAGTGAGTTCATTTTAAGTCTTTTCCAAGTTAGTGTATCTGGGAACTTTTACACTTTGATAGCTGGGGGGTTACTGCAGAGTCCCACTCTTCTCACTGATTAATTTATGTATTCCTTAAAGGCTTCGTGATTATTCGATGACTGATCTAAGCTTTGCGTACCGCCCCGTGCGGCTAGTGATTATTCTGAGATTAGATAATACTAAGTAGCGCAGTCTGTTGGTTTTCGCGAATAGTTTCAGGGCTCTGTCTCATATATTTTTTCGACCGGTTCTATTCTAAGCTCTCTTAGCATATCATTTATGCAGATGTACCATGGCACTTAGAAAAATCTTCGGAGAGTGATGAAGTCAAGTTTGTTACTAGTCAAGTCTGAAGTTAAATCAAGTCTGTTACTTGTCAAGTCTAAAATTAAACTCCTCTACTACAAGTTACTCATCCGTCCCTTACTCTCGTGCGCCTTTCCCATGTGATCTACAATCTGTTCTGCGAAAATGAAAGGAATTCGTATTTTTGAGCATAAAGTATTCTCTGATTGCATTAACTACAACCGCAACTCTGACTACAAGCACTTATCCAACCCTGTTCTTTACAAAAAACTTAGATTAAAAGTGATTTGTTATTTACTTCTAGAATTTTGATGTTTCATATTGAAAACATATAATGATGAAAGATATTCTTTGCAGTCCTTTATAAAATTTATATCAACAACAAAGTGTTGCAAAAATTGGAACAAACGATTTTTTAGACTCTAGGTTCCAATTTGAACCTATGAATGTTTCATCATTTGAATATTTTTGACTGCAGTAAAAATAATAATCATGTACACATAACCCACATAACTCAAAATAGATACATTTTAAAGGAATGAAATTTTGTAAATTCTAAAATAAATTTATCATCTATAATATATTATCTGTATTATCCTTTACAAGGACAAGGAGCGTCGTTTACAAGAAAGCTTAGATTACTCGTATCGACAAGAATCCTTCTTACTTGCCAGGCGGTAGCTCATTCGACTATATAACCAATCTCCGACAAATCAAACTCTAGCACCATTTTCTTTTATTTCTTGTTAACCCTTCGGCAAAAACCTCCTGAAACATTTCATTCCAGTATTTTTATTACCCCCTCCATAACCATAACTTCAATGATCTGATCACAGAGTCCACACTAATCTGCCCCCATCGTAATAACTATACGCCCTCCTTCTTCCTTTCTTTCTTCTATAATACGCTCATACTCTCTGGCTTAGAAAAACCTAGACTTCTATTTACTAAGCCTTTCTATCTGAACAGTCTTAGGAGCAATTACTGAAATGAAGTCTCATATACTGTCCCATCTATTCATTCATTCAATTTCAGTTGGTTAAAATCTGTGACTATTGTACCGCAAAAAAAAGAGCATAAATAAATCAACAAAGTAAAAGCACTTTGCTAAAAGCAACCTATCCGATCTCATATACTCGATGCGGTTGCAATCAGCCCCATTCAAATAGAAAATGTTCACCTATTTAAGTGCTGTAATCATTCTTCAAATCCTAACATTTGGCACTTGCTTACTCTCACTAACTGGTATTTGACCTTCCAACCTTTATCCCTTTACCTCTATTCATACTTATTTGAATAGTGCTACAGTGCGCTTACTCTCCGAATACATCTAACCTTTTTGTAATGAAGTATTACCCATTATTTCCAATACCTTTCTATGAAATCACGGTTATAAGGTCTGTAACTAATACCCTCCTGTGTATCTCCAACTTATTTTTTTTTCCACATTATTCCTATTTCAAATTATCCATAACAAATACATTGTTAGTGATTTTTTTTGATATTTTGGCACTTTAACTTGATACTGAAGAATCGGTTAAGTTCTATAGTTGACCTCAAGCTCATCAAATTTATATCAATAATTATGCTTGATCTTTGAAATTAAGATAAAAACTGTCGTTTAATTCTCTTTTCATTTTTGATTAAGTATTCTGAAGTACAGTTTAAAAGCAATTCGGCATTATAATATAATACATAATATCGTAAATTTGGAACCGCCCATAGGTATGTATACATACATATATCCAAACATATACAATATAATAATTTCATTAATTACACAAATATATTTCATTTTAATTTTACAAATATATAATATAATATTTAATAATATGCATATATAATATATAAATTTAATTTTTAAGTTTACATTTTTAAAGTCACATTCGAACAAAGTTCTTAACAAATTTAACGAGTAAAGATAATTTCAAAATTTTACAACTTAAGTTTTTATAATAAAAAATTAAAACAAAATTTAAAATTAAATGAAAGCTATGGTTAAATAGGATCTGCATCTGTTGTAGACTTAAAAACAGAGTACCTTAAATTAGTGTTTAAAACAAAACAAAAAATGAATGTATCAATAGAAAACGAATGGAATTTCCAACTGCAGCGGTAGGGAAACTTGTTAATGCTATACATCCAAAATTATAATTAATTTCAAGTTATACTCTCTGAGGGCAATAATCATATTTGTTCACGTTAAATACTTCATGTACTGCAGCTGTGCGTAAATGCATTTTTGTATATCATAAAAAATTATTGACAAGACAGGACTTCTAATTGTCATGACGCTTGTTTGGTATTTGCCAAATGTCTGTTGTATAACGGAACCATATCAGCAACAGATCAATGCCCATCTGCAACCAGGACCAGAATGGCGTTAATTTTGAACCATCAATTTCTTTCCAATTTACAGATATTTCAGATATAGGTAGTCGTAGACGTTCAGCAAGATACAACAGCTCCACATCAAACGCCCTTTAATAAAAGAAATATTTTATTAAAATTATGTTAAAGGAAATTAAAACTAAAACTGACATTATTGATGAAAGTGTTTAAAAGTTTTTATATTGAAAAGTAGTATACTAATAAAAGGAATCAACTAAAAAATTATAAATTGTGATTGTAGCATTGATAGGCGCCATATATATGTGTTAAGATATATTCTTCATATGTACTACACAAATAACTAAGCCTTAATCTATAATAACGAAGCTGATGTCGTGGTATCAATGTACACTAATACCCCGAATTACATCAATAATTGGGCCCGATAAAAGGTAACGCAAATTAAAACAACACAAATCGAATCACATTCTCCACACATTTAATTTTCAAAAATATTCTGGTTTTTGGCCACTTGTTGATGGAGAATTACCTTTTTACTAATTAAATATCGACAGAACCTTATTCTTAATTAGCTTTTGGCTCAATGGTATTCTCCTTTGATTCTGATTTTCTATCCAAATGGATAGAAGGGACTCTATTTTTACAATTAATGGACTTCTATTGTTTGTAACTTGTTTGGCGCTCAAATATGTGACAGATTTTCCATAGTCCTTTATGTTGTCCGCGTAACGATTACAAATTATTCTAATAGTAGTTGGACATACACCTAGAATTCTCTCAATACCAGCAGGTTTTTTTCCAAATTTAAAATATTTTAAAATGTCTAACGTTTGCTCCAAGGAAATTTGTTTTCGCTTTTGACTCATTTTTATACTTTATAAAGTAGGAATGTACACTTTCCACTTCACCACACAAATGTGAACTGCATACATGTAAATCCCCTTTTAAAAATGTGACCTGCGAAACAGAAAATGAGAATCCCCTCTGTAGACATGTATTAAAAAACAACGCAATTCGAAGCCAAAACTTTTTTTTTGCCGACGCAATTTGAATCAACGCAAACCGAGGAAACTCAAATCAGAGTACTAGTGTATTGCACTTTGTTGTGTCGAATGATATTATAGAAAATATTAACAATGCTATATGAATTCAAGTAGTGAGTTCAAAAACCTGTTAAACACTTTACAAACTAAAGTATACCAGAAGTATCATATTATATTCTTCATATAAAAATCATATCATAAATTTCAAACATTATTTTATTTGCTCTTCAAATGAAGAACGATAGGTCTTATATGCAACTTTAGCTATAATAGAAAAACTAAAATCAAATTACATTCGATAAGATGCAATTACAATCTACAGAAACATGCCATTACTTTTTCAAAAATAAAAAAACTGGATTATTTTTGTTTCGACTCAAAAAGACCTGCTATTTTTTACCTGTAACAGTAGTAACAGTAGTAGATGAGCATTTGGTCGTCTGAAAAGACCAGTACATAGTTCCCATGTACTGAAAAAACTAAAAGAAACAAAAAGACAGCTTAAAAGAGAAGCTGAGTTTGTTGGTGACATGGATATGATTCTTTACAGAACTAGTTATAAGGGTGATTAACAAAGTCGATATGGTTCACTTTTACTTGAGATTGCAACTTATTTTTATAGATTTGCACAAAAGATCGTAAAGGATAAAATTCCCAATGCTTTGAGAACAAACATAAGAGCATATTTCATCTATGTTCTATTTTACATCTAATGACAAGGTCAAAACAAAATATATTGCAATAAAGTAATGATCAAAACGTCAATCACAAGTGTATCAAATTTACGTTTACTTTCGGAACTACAACATGAAACACCTTATATGATGACAATCTTTGCATATTTACTGTTGGATATAATTCTAAAATTCTAAATTTAGTATATCAGAATCAGTTATAATAAATTGAAATTTATATTAGAGAATTTATATTAATTTTATGATGAATGGTGGGAGACGTCAAAAAGTCTTTCCAAACAATAGTGATAATAATTATGATATTTCTTCGTATGGAAGTGTTTTACATAAACACAACTTGAGAATAGAAAACTAACTATTCAAAATTTCCTCCAAACAAAACATACCATCGCTCCACGTGCATTATATGAAATAATTTTCTAGCTGTCGATCGTGTAAATAGTTTAAATCCACATTGTGTATCACGTACAGAACGTACTGTAAATACCCAAACCAGCAAATGGAAGCCATGCATTAGGAATGTGCTGTAATTTAAAAAAAAATATATATAATTTTTAAATACATTTGAAAAAAAAAACGATTGTATTCATTGTAATTACCGAAATAAGCTTCTGGATGCAACAGCTTCACTTTCTAAATGCGCACGCGAACCTACCACCAAACCATCTTTTCGCCAATCAGCAGTAAAAGCTTTCATACCATATTCTAGTTTTTCCAAATCTGAAAATTTTGTGGCACCATCGGCATCCGCAAACAGTAAATTACGTCCCCGCGCGCTTAACATACCCTATGAATTAATAAAATAATTTAAATTATATCATTTATATATTTCTCAGCATTTTTTATAATTCTTAAATTGTTTTAGTATGGGTTTCGAAATTATTTATTTATTGACTTTTCTGAGATATTCATTTCTAAGTTTTTCATTGCACTTACTAATCGTACAGCTCCACCTTTTCCTCGATTTTCTAATAAATTGAGAACGCGAAACTTTTCCGTGGTAAGTTTTTTACTGTACTCGTGTCCAATCTTAGCTGTGCCATCTCTACTCCCATCGCTCACAAGTATTATTTCGTATGTAAATTTTCCATCTTTGATACGTTCTTCAAGAAAACAAACCGATTCTGTCAGCATTGAAGGTACTAAGGAGAAAAAAATTAATTAATTTAAAGCGCATGAGAATTAAAAATAATTTATTATATATAATACAATACATATAAATCATATATTACTGATATATAATAACCCCACACTCTTAAAATTCTATGTAAAATTTTATAACTAATTTTAATTTTTATATACTTTTATACCAGTATCGAGATCGCATGGCATTAAGTATTTAAAATATTTATGTACAACCCTTTTCATAGTAATATAATTGTATATATATATATATGAAATAGTAAATTAAAATTAAAAAAAAATTAATTAAAAAAAATTAATGAGATTGGAAAGTTATAAGCTCACTGGTTCTATTACCAAAATTTACAAAGTTCACAATATTAATGCTTGAAAGCAGCATATTAATGCTATACATCACAAAATTAATTTTATATAGACTATATAAGTTGATACGGCTCACTTTGGTTATTGGTTTATACCTTCTTGATATAATATATAATGGTTTCATCATCTTCCGAATCAGAACTAGGTGAAGATGATGCAAAGTGTAATAGTGAATTATGATTTATCTTCAAGTGAAAGTCCAAATAAGATCGTTTTAATGTGAAATAATAAACCATTTAAACCTAGATGCACTTTTAGTTGTTAAAAGTTAAAAGTTAAAGATTTTTATTTAGAAATTTATGGAAAAATAAATCAGTTATTGTTTTATTAAATAATTAAAAATAAAATAAATAAATATTTATTAAATGAAAAAATTTTAAAGAAAAATTAAAACTCCTACTTAATTTTTGGTTATATTTCGTACATGCATTGTAACTACATAAAAAACTATCGTCTAATGACCTTAGTTTTGAAAATAAAAAATCATAAAACTACATTAATTATAAATATATGGAAAAGTTTTTCGAATAGTAGAGAACTACAACAACAAAAATTTACGTTATATTACTTTAATTAATTGAATTCTTGGCTGACCATATAGCTGTTTTGAGTATTGCCAAATACTCATCATCAGTGGTCTTGAAAATAGTTTTCGTATTTAATTATTGGTCAAAAAATTTTTTGAGATTGCAAGTACCAGGAATTGAACTCGCTCACACTCTGAGCTATATATATATATAGAATAACTTATATTCCATTTATTTGATTTTAATCAAATTAATTAAACAATTGGAATAAACTAATTTCTTTTCTCAAAACTGTGATCCATTAAGGATTTATTTAAATCTGTTAACCAATTTTGTTACCAGTTTTTTTGAAAAGTTCTGGTAGTCTTTTTAAAAACAAAACTTAGTTCCTAACTATGAATCTTTAGAAAATAAATGCCTAGATTATAAAATCTCTGTTATATATATACATATACATACTTATGTATATATCAAAAATATGTATATATCAAAATTTAAACTAATTATAAAATGACTGTTGCGCACATTTTAGCAAGAGATAAGACAAAGGTGAGGTAAATTATTGTATATTTTTACACATAAGTACACCTAAGCATTTTCAAACATTTGAAAAAAAATTCCCCGTCATTTGTACAGCTAAAGTACAGCTAATTAATCATAATCATCTTTTACCAGGAATTATAGGAAAAAATAAAATAATATTAGATAAAAATGATTTTCTACTAACTTCCGTACAGTGGAATTGTTAGCTGTTAATCAACTTACATCGTTTTTCTTCCTCATATGCCGGTATGATGACACTTAAGTCAACACTAGGCTCGTCATCTATACTCGGAAATGCCTCATCGAGCTTTGTATTAGGATTAAAATAGTATTTTTCCAATTTATTCCGCTTAATCATAGGCAGTGCAGTTGTGACTGATTTTTGTACATAATATAACTAAGAAGATAATTAATTATAATTAGGTCAGAAACATTTTTTAACAACACAACAAAATATGTTTACCAGAAGCAGCAAAGCCGCCAATAGCAATCCACCAATGAAACTAATTAGCTGCAAAGCTTCAAGGAAAAACATTTTAAAGAAATTTGTCAGCAGTTTTTCTTAATACTTTTCTGATGGAATTCTTTAATTATTTAATACTTTCTAATCATTTTCCTAAATTATATATTATTTATTAAAATGCACACCGCCACGTACTCCTCGCCAGATTGTTGTAAGTGAAAAATTCTTTTCCCGTTCTTTTGTTTTGTTATATTCTCTATATGAATGCGGCATGAAGTGTCAAATGTGTGAAGAAGAAATAGAGAACTGTCAAATGAAAAATGCGCGGGTTTTATAAAAACAGAGGTGCTTTTAATTGTTGTGAATTGCATACTGCTTAAATGAACATAAATGTGCCGTGTGCGAGTTCAAGTAAATTGATGATAAATTGAGAGAAATAGTAAATTATTTATATGGCAGCGAATGTTGCTATTTACCAGAATTTCGAGTAAGGCAAATTAGATACAAATTAGGTGTCACCATTGTTAAAATTTGATAAAATGTTTAATAGATAAATAAATAAAATTGAAAACTTTTAACCAAAAATAATAAATAAGTGCAATAAATAAATAAATATTTACATAAGTGCAGTGCAAACTAAGAAATTTCAATTTGCTTTACCTCAATTTACTCGAACTCGCACACAGCCTTAATGACAAACTGAGGTTTGAGTATTATCATGTGTCTCGATACCTCTGCATTCAATGGAAAATTAGATATGTTCGACGAGCTACTCGTAGTAACTTTGAGTAACACTGTACTATAATGAGACCTTCTAAGAGAGCGTAACATCACTGTCGAAATTTGAAAATACTACACAGACTTTACTCGTACATTTTATTTCAAGTAAAATTTGTGTGATGTGTGAATCATTTGTTTTGGTTTGAATATAAATTTTTGTATTGTTTATTTGCGCGGCACTAGTGTTCTCACCAGGCTTTACACAAAGCTGTTCCATGAAAATCTGTGTAGAGGGCGTAATTTGACACTTTATTTGTGTTACGGGAGCTAACCCCTGTATGTTTGTCTGGAGTAGCTTGTTTTGGCCTTATAAACATATAAGGTAATAAGTAATTCGTTCTACAGGGATGGTGTTAGTGTTTTCAATTAACCTGCCATTTGGATAGACAGACTTTATCACTTAATTTTGGTACTCCAAAATTTGAGCTTTAAACTATGAAACTTCAAAATTAAACTTAAAAAAATTAAGATATTAAGTATTGTTGCCATTGGATCACTTTTGTGGAATAATTCACATATTATGCATTTAAAAATATTTGACATTTTAAGAATTGAACAAATTATTCATTATTATTGTTGTAAGATTGATTTATGTTAGTATTAGTCCCTTATTAAGGAAGATGACACCTCTGTCAGGTCAGTAAGAAAAATTGATTCAAGGTGAAACACGAATTCCTTCTCCTTTTCAAAGCTACAAATATGACAAATATCATTATAGGATAGAGCCAGTGTCATACCTTATCTCTTTAGTATATAGTAAACTGTCAGCACCGATACCTTAATGCTAAGCAGTTTCGCTTTGATTGAAGTAACTAACTGGAACGATTCTTGTTTAGTTTTGATCAGATCGATTTTGACATTCATCAGGAATTATCATCTGATAAAGTTTTTTTTGCTAAACATAATGTGTTATATAAATGAAAAAATAAATGAAATAAGTAACATAATGAATAAAAAATTATTAACATAAATAATGCCATTTTTACAAAATTGTGTTTAAAAAAAATATATAAGTACAGTCAAACTTCCATAACTCGAAGTACCACTTTGCAAAGAAACGGTTCGACTTATGGAGACTTCGAGTTAAAGAATTTTTTATTTTTATTTCTTATTTTTGAAAAAAATTAGAATCACATTTTAAGATATTTACATATTTATTTGCAATCAAATAAAGCACAGAAGTTATAGTTACCCATTCAGAAATTAAAGTTTGGTATTTTAATTTTTTTTTCTTATTTTCAGTAGATTCCAAGCCTTATAGTGATCATCAGTTTGAGTATCATTCGTTTGTAAAAAAATTAAGAACTTTGAATTAGTCTTCTACTTCATTCTTGGGTGATGAACAATTGCATGCACCGAACCCTCATCATCATTTTCCATTGCGCTTAGAATTGGATCCAGTAATTTAGAGCTCTATAGTGCTCAATAATATCGTCATCTGTAGGAAAACTTGATGAAGTTATAGAGTTAAGGAATATAGAAGTTCGAATATAGAAGTTATAGAAGTTCGAGTTAAGGAAGCAGAATTGTATGTAATTTTCTCTCTAAAACCCTGTAGCACTCTTTTTTGTTCGAGTTATAAAAAATTCGAATTATAGAAGTTCGAGTTATGGAAGTTTGATAATTTGTTGTTGTAATTCACTACTTTTAGAAACCTCTCTATCAAATGCAATAACCTCTATTAAGGCCTTGTGCGCGTTCGAGTAAATTGATAGTAAATTGAAGGAAATAGTAAATTATGTCGGTATGACAGCAAATGTTGGTTTTTACCAGAATTTCGAGTAGGGTAAATTAGATAAAAATTAGGTAAATTAGGCGTTACCATTGTGAACATTTTATAAGATGTTTAATAATTAATTAATAAATAAATAAATATTTACATAAATACAGTGCAAACAACTCCTAGGAAATATTAATTTGCTTTACCTCAATTTACTTGAACTCGCACACGACCTAAGTAATTTAATCACTACCGTCATATTGATGTTAAAATCAAATTTAATATAAAATAAAATTGAAAAAGAAAATTAGGACGTCCCTTTGAACATTTTAAATTTTTTTGACTAGGTGCGCTTCATGTGGTCACCCTACGTTATATAAATAAGCATTCACAAGTACTGACCTAACTCAATATTTTTCCAAATTTGAGAAATAAACAACAAAAACAAATTCGGTAAAAGTCTTTAGGAAAAGCAAGAGAAAATTCCAGAGAAAATTTGCCAAACACTTAAAGAAGACGAATTTGTTCCGATACATATTATTCCTTCGTATAGCGCGTGTGCGTGCGTGTGTATGCTCCCCAGTATCCATACAAAATTATTTATATTCACCAACGGAATTTTCTTTGGCGTTGAGTGTGGGGTGTATGTGTTACGAACAAAATATTTTTAGTTTTTTAAAAAATATAAACAAAATAATCAGAGACAAAAGTTGCATAAAATTAAATAAAATTAAAAATAACAGAAAATTAATGAGTTGAATATATAGTTTAGATTCGAAAAATGTTTTAGTAAAAAATAATTGTGAAAAATCAATATTTTGGCTTTGTAAACTAAAATGTTATCGCATTTAAGACAACAAAATTATCTGGTGACCGGAACCCAAACGGTCACTCTGTTGCTGACATGTCTACTAGCTGCAATGTGTCCCATGACTTCTGCAATGGAACAAGCTGCAGTCGGTGAATTATTTACATATAAAATTGAACCGTTGCTCTTCAATTGGACACGTACAGCGATTGGTGCAGAATTTCGTTACCGTCCAACATTGCAAGGTTATCCAGACTTACCAACTTGGTTGCGTTATATGTATAGCCATGAACATCATGCGGGATTTCTGTATGGCACGCCTACCGATCGATTGGCTGGTAAAGCATTAAATCTTGACATCGTGGCGCTCAACAAAGCCAATTATGAAACACGTACCGTAGTGCTATCAATTTTTATTTCTCAGAAATTCCCTGCTCCAAATGTTATACAAATGAAAATAGATAATCTGAATTGGGTGCATTTAATGGATCCTGGGCGAGTGGAAAATTTACGTAATATATTCCGTAAAGATCTGTGGACAGAAAGTGAAAACGATTTGAGTTTAGTTTTTATGGAATCTGCTGTTAATATGGGCGGCCGTTTACCACTCCGACCACAACAGAGAGAAGGGTAATGTAGAACTCTTGTAGAATTGTGCTAGTAAAATTATGAAATTTCTTTATTTTTTATTTACTATTACAGTCAAACTTCCATAACTCGAACTTCTATAACTCAAATTTTCTATAATTCGAACTAGAGTGCTTGAGGGTTTAGAGAGTAAATTACATACAAAAAAATCTTTAACTCGAAATCTCCATAAGTTGAATCTTTTCTTTGCAAAATGGTGCTTCTAGTTATGAAAGTTTGACTGTATATGTATGGAAGTTTGGCTATATATACATAAGCATATATCATATATATCATATATCATATAAATTTAATTTAAAAATGAAATTATTTTGACTTCACAGTGTCATCGTTCATTTGGGCAGTTTCGCACAATTCTCTAAGCGTCTGAAAGAGTTGCAGGAAGAGGTACGACCATTATATAAGCTACCTTCATGCACCTATAAGCGTACATCCGTTCAGAAGATATTTGAAAGTGCTGGCTTTAAATTGGATTGGTGTGCATTCAAAATGGTCGGTGCAGATATTGCACCAGAAATTTTATTCCATAATCATGGCAGTAAGGGCTATCATGGCTCCTCTGAGTTGGGTAATCTTAAACGTTACGATCGTTGGTATGGTCTTGCCCGTGAAGATGCACCAGTACGTAATTATATTGATGAGTTTGCTTTTGCCTTCGCAATACCCGGAATGATATTCGCTGTACTGTTGGGAATCTTATCAGCTATACTATGCTTTCAGCACGAGAAATTGTAAGTAACTTGATATTTTTTTAGTATATATTATATTTGCTATATAATTAAATGAAGGAACATGCTATGACAAAATGCTTATGAAATTAATATTCTAATCTGATCTGATCACTTATTTAGGTATTTTTAATAAATTTGTAAATATTTATTCCGGATCCGAAGAAAAAAATCTGTAAAAATAATTGTATAGCGTTGTCTTTATTTTTGACACCGTAAACATTGATTTATTATTAAGTTTTTTAAAATTATTTTATAAATTTTTAATTATTTAATTTAAATTTATTTTTTATTTTATTTAATTAGTTTTGTATTTTCTTTTTTTTTTTTTGTAGACATGATCCGCAATCAGAAATTTTCTTTCAAAATATTTTTCACCTATGCGAAGAATCCTGCGGAAAAGAAAGTCACCAATCCGACCAATCAGATGGTGAAAGGTGAATTATATTTATTTTTATTTACAGCATATAATTGTTAAAAAAAAATTTTTATAATTTTTTTATTTTTTTTTTTTGTCAATATAATACTATTTTAATATACAGTTTAGCGTAGGTACCTGCCATTAAGACTTAAGACCACATGTATCACATGTATCAAGATAATGCGCCGATAAACGCCCCATTGGAAATCCTAATGAATTTCCGCCGGCACCAATAAAGTGGTTAATAAATGTGTTTTGGATATAACTTCCTCCTTGGTAAGAAACGATGCCCACTCCGGTGGTATGTGTGTACAATATGTACAATCTCACATGTACATACATTTCAAAATTTTTTCCCGGGATACTAGTCTTTATATTTTATAAAAAGAGCTTATAAAAAAAAATTTCAGCCATATCGGAGATTTGTCAAAAAGGTGTATAGGGGTCATTTGTAAAAGAATGAACCCTATACATATATAGTTAATTTAAGTCTTTACTTCATATAGCATTATTTTTGTAAACAGTCTTCTTTTATTTTAAATACCATATGTATAAATATTCTTAATTTAAAACTATATCTTAAAAAACTATATATTTCGATACTAAGTTTATATTTTTATTTTAAATTCATACACATATATATTTTGTATTACTGGTGTTGTCTAATAGTTAGTTTTGGATAAGGATAGCAGCATACCTGAAAGTGTGTATGGATAGATATTTTTTTATTAATGAGTGTATTGTGGTTTTATCTGAATGATATTTCAAAACTATCAATATTGACTTGAATCTATTCGTATTTTCAAGATTTTGCGGTTTAGCAAAATTAGAGTTCTACTGATGCAAAAGAACTTAACACGGACTTAAAGTCAGAATCTTTCAATATCAATTAAAAAAGTTCAAAAGTCCTCGATATTGAAAAAAAAGTAATGAGTTTATATATCTCTGCGTCTCTGCGTCTCTGCGACATAGAAATTCATAGTGTCTCTTCATAAATTGGGATTTTCTCTCCAAGTCCGATTTTTTAATAAATTGTAGTATTAAACCTACTTCACCAAGTTTTATTTCTTCATCCAATATCTTACCCATCTAAGTATTTCTTCTTGTTTTGTAATAATTCCTAAGTTGTTTTTATTTAGTTTATTATAATCCCTTATCCGTAATCCTTTTAGATCAAGTTGCTCGCAGAACTATTTCGAATAAGAAAGCCTTAATAGATTACTCCGGTATTACCGTTACTATATATATCGTATTTGTGAATACGTGAGAAGAGATAACCTTTTTCTAAGACACAGTATGATTCAAGGCGTATAAGCATTGAGGCTACTTCTGTTGTAACAAGTTTGTCTGCAATTATTGAGCATTTATTTGTATCAAAACATTTAAAGGCTCTATGGATTTACAAAATACTATGTTTCCATATCTTGTGTTTTTATCACAACAAATACTAAAAATATCTTTATAACTTGATTTTAGTGAATTGGCTGCTTCATATCCTACAACCTCCACCGTACAAATGGTTCAATGTTCTGATACAAATACAACTCAACCTATAACAACATTGAAAAGTCTCAAGGATCCAAATTGTTTGCTGGACAATACAAGCATGCATTCACAAAGGTATATTCAAATGGAATTTATAAAAGGAATTATGCATTATATATATACATATTTTAAATTGTTTTCCAGCCCGAATAACAGCTACTACCAAACTGACAGTCCATCAAATACATATCTACGTCCGAAGCCACCACCATACAAGGGTGGTACTCTAGGCAGAAGTGGTGTAGATATATGACAAACATCTCCGCGTATTTTATACTGTTAAAAACTTTTAAAAACAAGAGTACATTCATGTGTGGTGTTTTATACACTTAGTGTCAAATTAACTCACCAAAATATCAAAGAACTATACGAGTGTGGTGAATAAGTAATAAAGAACAGGAGATGCTGAAGGCACGATCGAATATATACTAACATATCTTTAATGAATTAAAACAATAATATAATTTACGCACAATTCTAATAAGATGAGATGGGAAAGAGGCTTTTTTTGTACTAATAAAAGATATTTCGGAAGCTTAACGTTTAGAGTATAATAAATACAAGTTTATAATACAAAATTGCTGAAAAATATGTCATTTATATATTCAAAATTAATTAGTTAACTTCGGATGATATATATAATATATCCATTATATTGAATTATATCAGCTGCTTAATTAGAATAAAATTTCAAGTAGCTGAAAGATATTTAGATGTATCAATTTATATATATATGATCGAAATTGTATTATTGGTAGAAATGTGAATGTAGTAAAAATATAGAATCAAACTGATTTATAAAGTTAAATAACATAAATGTTTATGTTTCATATTTAAAATAAAATATTAAATGCAAAAACTGTTACTAATATAATAATTTTAAATTCTCAAACTGACAAAAATGACGAAAATAATAGTCCCTCCTACAAAAAAAGAGAATCGTCTTAGTATTATTAAATAATAGTTGGACATAGATTAAAGAAAAAATTTTAAAACATTTTTTAAAGAAGTTTCTTGAGCCCAGAAGAGATGTTATGAAAACTCTTAGAATGATGGTACGGAGAAAGCTATTTAACGAAATTAATTAATTATCAATCAATCAATCCAGTACGTTCCCAGGGGAACATTGGTCCATAACGAACTTTTTCCAACTGTCACGATTTTTTGCCAGGGTTTTAATTTCTCCAAAGGTTTTTCCGCTTGCTTGGATTTCTTTCTCCAGTGTTCACTTCCACGTTTGCTTGGGCCTACCAGGTCTTCTGCTTCCTTGAGGATTCCATGTTAATGCTTGTTTGCAGATTTCATTTGGTGCCTTCCTCAAAGTATGCTCGATCCATTGCCATTTACGCTTTTTGATTTCGTTATTACTTGTTTCAATCTCTTCAAGACCAGCACTTTATAAACCACAAAAAAATCGAAAAATAACTCGATGAAAATGGATGCGATCCATGTGGATAATGTAATAAGGATGTAATCCAAAAAAAAAAAGATCCAAGATTTTTTTTCTATCGTATCTATAAAGATTTTAGAAAGATGGTCAAAAGTCACAACTAAGATTTAAAAAAAATTGAATGTATCAATGTATATGTATATATATGTATATGTATAATATATATGTAAAATGTAAGTAAATATTTGTTTGATATTAAGTAAAATAATTTTTTATTTCAGTTGCTGTTATTATTACATCTTCCATCTGCATCAGGATTTAGCAATCTGGGAAATTGGTGAATCCTGATGCCAAAAAACTCAACAGTATTCAAATTTGTTCACGATAGCATAAATATCACAGAAAATAATTTTATCTAGTATTTGATACAAAATTAGAAAAAAAACTGGTGGAGCAGTACTACATAGACGATGTAGTGCTCTTTTAATACTTACACAAAAAGAGATATGTATTTAAGGATTCTTAGATCGGCGTGAAGAAACTTTTTCTCGATACCATAAATATCAGAAAATAATATTTATCTAGTATTTAATATAAAATTAGAAAAAAACTGGTGGAGCAGTACTACATAGACGATGTAGTGCTCTTTTAATACTTACACAAAAAGAGATATATATTTAAGGATCCTTAGATCGGCGTAAAGAAACTTTTTCTCGATACCATAAATATCACAAAAAATAATATTCATCTGGTATTTAATATAAAATTAGAAAAAAAACGAATGGAGCTGTGCTACATTGATGATTTAGTGCTCGAGATACATATTTAAAAATTCTTAGATCGGCTTAAAGATTAATATTAGTAAAAGAAGAATTATGTACGAATGTAACTTTACTCAATATTAATCAAAGATATATATGTCTACAAACGTTCAAATACTTAAACATATTGTAGTGTATATTAATTTTTTTGACATTATTGATACAAAACTATGATAACTATGATAATTAATTTTTAGTGCTGCTTTTAAATTAGTGCTGCTTTCATATAGCACATTGGAGGTTTATTACTTCAGTTAAAAATATTACAATAAAATTAGTATATAAGAGCAGTAAGATATTTATGTAAAGTGTTCGTGAGGTTAATATAATAAATGTTAAATTATTCGTAGCATTTCGTTCTCTTTTAATTCCTTTTTTTTACATTTTATACATATTTATTGGCGTGCTGTATACAATAATTTGTAATGTGGCTGTTATCATTTCGACATATTTGCTAATATTTTAGTACAGTACCCTCGTCCATAGAGGTGATGGGTACAAAAAACAGCGATTATTCACAATAGTAAATTGTTGATAAGAGATTAATAATAATATTGCGGCGCGTAAGAATTTCTCCGCCTGAATTGTTAATAGTGAAAGTTGTAATAAAGTTTTATTATAGATAATAAAGAGAATAATAAGCATATCAAATATATTATTTTTACATAAGTACTTCCGTAAATTCAACAAATAATCAAAATCCAACAATGTTATTAAAATTAATACAACAAATGCAAGAGTTTATAGACGAATATAATATAAATCTCATACATGCAATATTTATTGGTTTCACAATACTTATTGTAATATTTGGCAGTCTCATGAATTTGATTGAACAGCATTTGCCATTATGTATACGTCAGTCCTTTCGCTATGGCAAGCATTGCCATGTGGGAAGCCGCGATCCATTGGTAACAAAGCTCGAAGTGCCGAAAAGTTGGTTCAAGCATTTCTACGTGTTCGCTTTCACTTGGTCAGTGCTGGCATTATTTCTAGTACTTAAAGTATTAATATTGCGTGCTGAGGCACCTGAGTTTGTATTGCAATTCTTGGACTTTATGGCCGGTGGTGCTGCTAATAGAAAAGTACAAGTCGATTCTACCAGCGCGTTGGTAGTGAGTATACTGATGACATTACAATGTGGACGAAGATTTTATGAAACAAACTTTATACAAATCTTCTCGAAGAAGAGCAAAATAAATTTTTCACATTATATGGTTGGTTATATACATTATTTTGGCGTTATTTTAGCTCTGTTAGCAAATACAGAAGGTTTCGTTAGAGGTTAGAAATTAAAAAAATTGTTTTTAAATTTATTGCAATATTATTCAATTATTCCAGATACTTTACCTTCGCAGTTTTCGTATGCAAAAATTACACTACTACAATATTTGTGTGTCTTCATCTTTCACTTTAGCTGGACGCAACAGTATAAATCCAATATGATACTTGTCAATCTGCGTAAAAATCCACAGACAGGTGAAGTATCTACTGAGAAGCATTTGTTACCAAGAGGCGGTTTCTTTAATTTGATCTCATCACCGCATATGTTTTTCGAAATTGTTATGTATGCGGTTTTATTGAGTCTATTGCCCAGATGCACTTCATGGTATTTTATAGTATTTTGGGTACTCAGCAATCAGGTATTTGTAGTACATTAAATTTATATATATTATAATAATTAATTTTTCTTTATTTCAGACTATGAATGCGCTACTTACGCATAAATGGTACAAGGATAATTTTAAAGATTATCCTAAAAATCGTCGTGCACTTTTCCCATTCGTGCTGTAGATCATATCAAATCTGTTAATGATAGTCTTACCGCATACTCTTGTCTAATTTTAATACAGACTCTTTTTTTTTTAATAATTAAGTGCTGACTAATAGTCAGCCACTAGCAAATGGCTAAACTTTATTTTAAACTATGCATAAGTCTGACATATTGTTTGATAGTCTCTTTAAATTAATTTGATATTTGATATTTTTTATTAAGATATCCATTATACGGATATAGCACAGTCAATATAAAACAAATAGAACATTCCATTTCATTATTTAAAAACAGAGACAGTTCACAATTAAGTGAAAGTACAGTTGTATCTTCAATATTAACCTATATATAGACTTCCAAAAAACTTTATCCAAGAAAAATGAAACTCAAAACACAGAACATAATTCACTTTTGAAACGAAAATTGTGGTAGAAACTTTCTATTTGTAGAAGTATTGTAGAGACTCTATTTCCTGGGTCGATCCTATTTAATCATAATTGCCACGATTTTCTTGGATCACCGTAGTAACCTAATCTAACCTGTATATCGATTAATATTGATTATAGATCTTGACGTTCTCTCCATCTCTTTCTCATAACTTTTTATTTGTTTTTATCTAGACTTTAATTTTAATATAGCAAAAAACAGATATTTTTTTTCTCTAATTTAATATAAACCCTATTTATACCTCTATATCGTAAATATGTGCCATTGCAATCACCCATAGTATTGTATGCATACTTTTAAACAGTTGAACTCAATGTGTCTAAGACTTAAAGTAATCATTTCAATTTTTAACATTATCATTTAAAATGTTTTTGTATTTGCTATAATATATATGCAGACACTATACATTCCTATTTCTTAAAGTCTTTAAATAAATAATATAATGTATACTTTGTAGAAGTGGAATTAAACTTCTTCTCTAACTTATAAGACAAGAGCTTACTATATTTTGTTAATTGTGCCTTTTAAAACCATTTATACATAATCAAATTTTTATTCTCATTATCACAAGGCCTGTGACCAAAAAATAATAATAAAATGTTAATTAAAAAAATTTTTATTAAATTAATATTGTTTAATAATTTATTCACTTATATTTATTTAGTAGTTTATAATAAATGAGAATTTCTGAAATCATATCATAGTTTTAATTAATTCATTAATAATATGAAAACGAACAAAGCTCATTCAGCATTGAATAATACCAGCCACACAATCGTAAAGGATGGAACACCTATAAAAAAGAACTGAATTGCAGGACATCGCATCTGTTTACTTTTAACAATTAGTACTTAAATTTTCTAATTAAGAATATGCAATTAGGTGTATAATCATCTATATTGTAATAATGATAAAATGAAATAACTACTTATGTACTCAAAACATTAAACAAAATTTAAGATATACATATATATATGTGTGTAGTTTCTATATAGTTTTTAATATTTGTCAAGTTTATAATGACTGATTCAACTTAAACAAAATTTATGAAATTTGTTATTTTACATATGTCTTTCTTTTTATATATACACATATGCAATTATATATAGAGTGACAGATTTCTTAAGCGAACACCGATGGGTGTTCCAAATGCTATTATTATTAAAAGAAGGGATTGTACACTGCGACCTAAAAGATCTATTGTATCCCAATTATGAAGAAGAAGCTAATGCTAAAGCCTTTTAGACAAAAAAGCATTCTTAAAGTATCAACACTTGAGAATGTTAACTTAAAATGAGTAGAAAAAAAAATAAATTATTTTATTTTAATATATATTCAATATAACGAAACTTCACAGAAATTGCTATATTATTTGTATAATATACAAAATTTTAATTATAAGCGAAAAGAATATACAAAATAAATATCTTTATAAAACTATTTTAAAATAAAATTTATTAACATCATTGGGAACTGCTTGGCATTTTCCCTGTGCTCGGCATTTGTGGTTGCCGAGCATATGTTTGCTTAGCGATGGTTGGTATAGTTGTGCAACCAGGACAAGTGTGCATGTTGTCATGTATAAAAATATCACAATCGACGCAGTAATATTGTTCACATGCCTCGCAAAGGTATACATTTAGATCCTTTTTTGTAAAAACCTTACGACAACTAAAGCACATTTTCACAATTCCAGTGTTGGGTGACTCTATGTAATGTTTAACTGGAAATAGATGATGATACGAACGTGCTAAGTGGGGCGCGGATACCAATGTTAGGCCACATGTTTTACATTCAACTGGCAATTCACAATATTTACTTGAGCATTTTGGACAGAAGTAACCCTCTGTTGTTAATTTACTGGGTTCATCAGTGCTATCCAAATGGCATACGCACATAGATAATGGAGGCTTAATACTATCATCTTCTCCAGCACTTGGGAAACCCATTTTAATCAATGAATTTACTTGTGTTTGTGCCGCTGGTGGTGGATCAATATGCGCCAATAGCAGCTCACGATAATGTGAATCGTCTAATACCGCTCCCAGTGTACCATTTGTTTGTTGTGTCAAATAACGACAGAGACGAACTTCGGCCGATAATGAGATAACCGAGCATCTAATACGATCTTGTTTTAATGCTTCTATGGTAACATTTATATCAGATGGATCACAAGTTGTTAATGAGCTCATAATAAGTAAAATTTCACGTGATGCATGCGATGGTAAAAGTTTCAAATGTTTCCAGCCCATTTCAAGGCCGTTCTGTAAGGACGGTTCACCTGTTGGAGTTATTTTATTTAAACTGAAAAAAGTGTTTATTTTTAGTGTTACTATATTACTCCTAATATTTCAATGCCTTGTCATACATTTCTAAACCTTTCAAGTGTGTTTTTGCTGTTCCGGATAATTCTGTTACTTTCTCTGCACGTTTGCCGCGTAACAAAATGATGCCCAATTGACTTATAGGATTTTGATCAAAATATTCTTCAATAAAAATTTCCAAAAGCTTTTGAAATAAATGAAAATTGTTAATATAAAAATATATCAGACGGTGGACTCAATAATATATTGAACTAACTTTGCGTGTACAAGTCATTCTGGAAGGTTTTAGGTCTGGCACAGACATCGATTCTGAGCAATCAATTATCAAAAACATATGGCGCATAATACCCAAGCGATTGCGCTTGACTTTTTCTGTTTGTCGCTTACGTTTTGCTTTGAGTATAATTTCAGCAATAACAGTATCCAACTGCCCATCATCATCCTCTTTGATAGCTTCCCTTAAATAATATTAAAATATACATATTTGTGAATAAATACAAAATCGCGGCTAAATAAATTTAGTTACCAAGTTTTCTCATAGCCAGTTTCCCAGCGATATTCTTTGGTCTCCTCTTCACGAAATTCATCAGCCATTTTTGTATTAATATTATTAAATATATAATATCAAAATAAATAAATAATTATAAGATTTCGTTATTTAAACTTATTAGAACTCCACTAAGCTAATACAAATACCACCGGCGTATTATGCCCACAACTTAACATAGTTGCTTGCAAAGAATATGTTTGATTGAACGCACGAAATGACATTTACTGACGTCAATATAATTTATTCACAATAGCAGTGGCAGCTCTATTCTAAACTTGCTTTTTATATCTTAGCTATTAAAAATAAAATTTGGTTCTATATATAAAATAAGTCAATTAAAATGATTTTTAAATAAAACATTAAATATATAAACCTACAATCTAATACAAATACTGTTAATATCTGTTAATAAAAAAAAGAATTAATATTATATATATATTAAAAGAAATTCTAAAGCAGATTCTCGAAGTTCGCAAAAATACGAAAACTCCTGAATAGTTTATAATTTCAAAATAGATCTTTAATGCTGTTAAAAAATTAAACAACAATAGCACTGCTTAAATAACTCTTTATAAATCATCAACTATCAATATTTAATAATTTGACATTTATTTACATTTATTTCACATTAATTTATTATATTCGAATATATATATATATGAATGAAATGTTTATAATTTCTACTAGTTTCTTATACTGCAGCAGAATCAATATATGTTCTCCTAATTAAGATTTAGTAATATCAATTTTTTTTTGTCGAAAGTAACGCTTCATATGAAGAAAAAAAACTATTTAAAGCGCGGTACAGACTATCATTTTTGAGTGTCATTCAAGAGAGAAAATGTAAGAATGACACTCAAAAATGATAGTCTGCATCTTTGAATGACACGCCAACATGTTTGCGTAATCACCAAAATTTTGGTGAACACATCATTCAGCTTCTCGCCAAAATATTGTGAATAATAGTCTGTCGCCCAAAAATTTGCATTCGTCATTCAAGAGCATTTTTTTGCATAGTTGCACTAACACGCTTACAACGTGTGAAACACATTTACAGCGTGCACAAACACATTTCTTCTTCTTCAAAAATTTTGCTTGAATGTTAACATGTTCAAGTACGGTCGCTAGAATAATTTAAGTAAGAGACAGCGCAACTTGAATGACTTTCAAAAATGATAGTTTGCACCGCGGTTAACTCCTTTAAGAGCTTCACTGCATATTATTGTTGTTCGAAAAAAAATTTTAGTTCACAATGGAGTTGCCGTTCTTGTAAGATATTCTTTGGTCCTAATGTTTTACATAGCAACACAAAAAATTTGACATATAGTAATTTTACAACACTGGTTACTACTGTCGGTTTTTTGTGCGTTACGCGCTTATTGGAGATTTTATTAAATTTTGTAAACGGCAAAAGCCGTTTTATGTGAATTTAAGTGTGTTTAAAATTCCATTCATAATGGAGGAACCGTCTACATTTTTGTTTATACTTAAGAAAATTAAATTGCGAAATAAAAAATGTAAGTATGTATATATGAAATTCAATTTGAGCTGAATTGTATGTTGTGATTTAGCTGCTCCAGAAACTAAAGCAGAATTGGTGTCGCGCTTGGAATACAACTTAAGAACTTTGAAGGAGTTGTTCCATGATGATCTGAAAACAATTTCACACAAATTAGCAGAAGCACTTAACATTAAAGATATTTTATTTGATATTGAAGTTCCACCCGAGGAAGAACAGCAAATAATATATCTTGTTTTTATGATGTACGCATTAGTCAATATCACGAAATTACCTCATTTTTCTTCTGATAAGCCGGAGGATCTTATTTCCGCTGAAGATGTAAATCTTTGCATATTGGCAGTGCAGGATTTAAGCAATCTAGCCTTGACTCCAAACATACATAAGTTGCTACGCAGTAAACGTATATTCGGGCACACGGAATTAGGTGCACCACCAAACTTTGTACTGCTACGTTGTTTTGTAGTATTTTTTATAGAAATGTTGCAAATAACATATTTTCATATTGCTAATTCCATGGAAATAGTATTTTTGCATTTTATGGCGGCAACTTACACGTTATTATTTGCCTATCACGAAAAAGAAATAATGATGGATGATGATGAAGTAAAGCGTATTCTTAAAATGCTAAATATTGTTTGGTATAATATATCTAGAGAAAAATGCATGAAAAATACTATTATTATTATGGGTATAAATCAGAAAACACAAATGTTCATACGCAAATATTTGCGATATATGGTGACTTTAGACAATGGTTATGTGACGTTTGTTCATACATTCGAAGCAGCAATACAAGCAGAAGGCAGTGCGGGTAATGTTGATCGAAAGCATGTTATTCAACTTATGGCTAAAATAATTGCGTCATTTACCTCCGTAGCGAAGAAGATAATACCGCAAATTATGTCATATGTTAAATTATGTCTAACTACAAGCAGTTTCGATCAAAATTTGAATACGGCGTTACTCACATTACGGAGATTATATGATGAAAATATCCACAACAAATCTTACATTTTAAACGAAATTGATGCCATTCTGCACAAGTTTATAGAGCCAGAGGAGTTACTTACTGGATTTATTTTGATGGAAAATAGTGAATTTTCACTTACTATCTCGTTAATATATCATTTATTTTGTTTTTCAACTGTGGAATGCCTGCCAAGCTGTGCATTAGGAGACTATTTGTATATGTTCCTACAAGTATTTCAACAAGCCGCAGAGAAAACTACAGAGAAGAAACAGTTGGCGAACATAATCACACGCTATTTGAATAACCAAACAAATGAAGAATTGGTAAATATCATTGAAAAACTCTTTACAAAAACAGATCGTTGGCAGTATAAGCTGCATGAACGCATTTCCATTGTCAATAACACTGTGCTTATTGTCAGCACCGACGATGTGAATATATTGTCTTATATTCCTGCAGTAATTGCCGAAGTATTTAAAGTTGAGACGCATTACACTTTAACATATGATATATTTATGATTCTTTTAAAACTAGTTTTAAGTGACACATTTTATAAGACTGATAATGCTGAAAGCACTAAAGATATAAGTTTGATAGAAACAGAAGACGAGTTAATGAATTACATCGCTTCTAATTATCCCGTGCCCTTTGGAATTTTACATACGCTGAGTGCGTTAATTGAACTTGATTCACTCAAAACACAACTGAAAGCAAATGACGAACGGATGCTCCAAGTTATGACTAACATATTACAGAAATATTCAAAAGACGATCACCCCAACTCCGGCCATTCTCTAACACAAACTCAAATTGTATTTGGTGTCATATCATTATTACATGAAATTTTAAAGAGTTCATCTAAACCACAAAACTGTACTCATCTTTTATCAGTTTTTGAAAAGTTAGAATCACAAAGTCTACCAATAGATTTGAAACAACGCTTAATTGAAATGAAAAAGATCATAAAATGTGATTACAAGATTGATCACGTTCACGAGGAATTTGAACGAGCACGTAATCTTATCGAACAATCTCAACCATATTTGCAAGCGGAAGGAATGAAAAAATTCGATAATCTTCTAAAAGCCAATAACTATTATACGATAGCAAATGGTCACATCATTATTGTATTGGCTATTAATATGTTGAAAAACAAGGACTCGTATGCTTTTCTTAACGCTATAAATTTATTCAAAACTTTGGTTGAAAAACTCAGCATCAATGTAATAGAAATCTTGTGCGATCTGTATTTGGAGGAAAAAGACGATATTGATCAGCGTCTTGTTGTGGGAGAGGCAATTGTTAAAATCTGTGCAAATTTAGGTGAGATACATTTATATTCAATTACGAAATTATATTATTTTTTTAGAATAACGATTTAAAATATAAACAGGACAAAGTTTAACTTAACTAAATAGAAAATATTGTGATTATTATTAAACATTTATTTAAATATTTTTAAGTACTTAAAAGTTTAGCTATATTTGCGAAAAAAATCATTTCTATATATTGTCTGCTATAGTTATTTTTATTATTATAGAGGAAGCCAACAGGAATATGAAGTCAACTATTTAGATTACCACCGAAGCGTTGTCATTTATTTATATTGGTAATATTGAAATTCACGGCTGTGAACATTATTGGTTCTGGGACGTAATTCCAGCCACTTCTAAAATATATTTAAATGGCTTCAGTGCACTTTATACTAACTACTCTCTTGCGTTAGGTACAGAATTATTTTTGTATATTCTTCTTTCTGTGTGAGCGATTTTACCAACTTACTATATCTTTTGATATCTTATATAGATTCCACGATTTAAATTTGACAGAATTTAATTCCTAACACTTGCAGTCTAAGAATTATATATTAATCGATATATAAACCTATTAGATCGATTAAACCAGTAGATGTTTTCAAAAACCGATAATGATAGAAATTTGGCAGTATATCCGAAAGAGCTTCATTTTGATTAAAGATATATTTTTTAGATTTGGATTTGCAAATTACCACTGTTTTATTTAAAGCTATTTTTTGTCATAAGATATAGATTGTAACATCTATAATACGAAATTTTTTTTCTTGCCATAGAACATCCATGATATTTATAAGAATAAAAGATTGCATTTAATTCAAATTTATTCTATTATGCATCTATTTTCTGTTACGAATTTATTTAAATCAAATTATTTTTTTTTTAAGGTCCACTTTGCTATAAACATAAGGCGGTTTTAATAAACACTTTCTTCCAAGGAGCACGTTCGCGTCATGATGAATTTCGTATGTCTGCTTATGCAAACTTAAGTCAATTGTGCCGTATACTTTCTTATCAAATAGATCATTTCTTTTATGAGGTAAAATAATTAAAATTAATAATTAAATAGAAATAATAAAGTAAATCATTATATTCTATTTTCAGCTTATAATATTAGTTCAGGACGAACTAAATACTGGTAAATACGTGCCTGCTCAACGTGCAGCAGTTCTAGTGCTCAGTGATATCTTAGAAGGTATGGAGGATGTTTTCCAGTTTGCAGAAAAACTTTCGCCTATGTTTAAAATATTAAAAAGAGTTTCGAACGATAGTAATTATGACAAAGAAGTTCGTAACCATGCAAACAATGGACTAAAGACTTTGGCGAAAAAATGTGAACAAATTTTTAATGTTGAACAAACGTTAGAGAAAAAAATTCAAATATTGAGTTTAGGCGAAAAGAAAGCGACTAAAAGAAATAAACACATTCTCGAATTGAACTAAAAATATTAATCAGAACAGAACTTATTCACCAGTGATATACTTGAAGATGTTTTATTTATATTTTTTATTCTTTTCTGTTTTGCGATATAAATAAAATAATAAAAAGCAAAAAATGGTTTAAATTATGTAGAATTTGTGAGTAGATCTGATCCGAATGGAACTACTCTAAATAGACCATTTTTTGGATAAAAGCATATCCCGAAAAACTGTTTGGACTTATGGGTAGATAGTAATCACTATACATTGACACTTGAAATATCATAATTTCTCTAAAATAAATTAATTTGCTCTAAAATAAAATCCTTCAAATATAAAAATATTGTTAGCTGATACTTGAATTCCCCCCATAAATTCTAATTGAATTTTTACGCCAATATGCAATATATTAAACATAAATTATTTAAGTAAAATTATGTTAAATACTTCTATATAGTTGTGTAGCGTTTAGCAAAGCTTCAAACACTACTATTCACCAGCTAGAAATTGCACAAAGCCAGGCTCTGAGAAGACTTTTCAAAGTTACATGGTACTTTAGGACGAATGACATCCTCAGGGACATCAAGATTGATCCCATCAAAAAATACATAAAGGATAGAGCCCTGAAATTATTTGCGAAATCTGACAGACTTACCAACACCGCGTTATCAAATCCTGGAATGGTTACAGGCTGTGTAGAGAGGGGTTTTGAAGAAACCTCGCAGTTAATAGAGAGTAAAAGTGCTCAGGTGCACTGACTCAACTAGTCTCAACATAATAACGAGAACTTTTAAAATTCCAGTATACAGTTTTTTAATCCTCCACACAAATGTACGGTTGTGATTGCATAGCAACACAGTCTTCATCAGATCTCTGTCGTGTTATGTCCAGAGCCAAATTGAAGTCAGGGTATAGTCATGAGTTAAACAACTACACAACGTGTGCCACAAACACTTTATATATATCTTATCCCAAGCAACTAGTGCTGTTTGTATTCGGTTTTACGAAATTTTCGGAGAATCCGATTAATCGGTTAGTAAATGGTTTGAAGGATTTGAAATGAAAAGAAATGAAATGAAAAGTCAACAACAAAAGTTTTAGTTAATTTATTGAAATTTGGTTAACTAAATTTCGATTGGCATAAGTTCATTTATGCGGGTGAAAGAGCTTTTCTGTGTCCGAAAGTTCTAGAAGAGTTTTTGTTTGTTAACAAAAAATAATATTTTTTGTTATACAATATCATTTAGCAAATATATATTTGATATATAAACTCATTTATATAATATATTTTTATATAATTTTTGGCCCCCTTAAAGCAAATGGGATGTATCGAATAAGATACAACCACGAGTTATAACTGTTATCTCAAGTTGACGCAATGAACAAATTTATGAAAAAGCAGCGATTAAGACGGGTTGGACATGTAATAACAATGCCGGATATAGGAACCTGCAGAAGAAGAGGGCAACTTATGAGTTACATTCTGTCGCGAACTGCTAAAGAAAAAATTCTGTTGCTTTAAGAACTTCTCTATTTAAATACAAGACATAGAAAGCCATAAATTGTGTTATAAGTCGATTAAGAATATTGTATTTAATCGTATATCAAGAAGTAGTTTAAAGTCATATTGTACATTCCTTCAATGCTTCAAATAAATTATGTTTTTCTAAAATAAGCTCAAATTTTTGAAAATTACAAATTTACTTCGTTGAAGACAATTAACTCAAATTAAGTAATAAGAGATTAAACTTATGCTATTGTATAATTTTATTTTTAAAAAATAAATACTCATCAATAATTTGTTATATTTATAAAAGATAGTTTTTCTAGTTCGTTAAATTTATTTGTAAAGCAAGAATTATTTATATATAATATAATATATATTTTTATATAATATATATTTATATATAATATGTATTATATATAATATATATTTATATATAATATATATTATATATAATATACATTTATATATAATATATATTTATATATAATACATATTTATATATAATATATATTTATATATAATATATATTTATATATTAAATATATTTATATATTAAATATATTTATATGTAATATATATTTATATATAATATATATTAATACATAATATATATTTATATATAATATATATTAATACATAATACATATTCATATATAATATATATTTATATATAATATATATTTATATATAATATATATTTATATATAATATATATTTATATTTTATTAGAAATTTTAAGAATTTATTTTGTACTTATCTTAATTATACTTAAATTATATAATTGCATTATACTTAAATTATATAATTTCAATATATTATTGTTATATATATAAACTTGGCGCCCAATATTTAAATGGACAAAAGCGCACATATTTGAGCGCGAAAATATTTATTTATTTAAAAATATAAAATAAATATTTATTTTATTTTCGTTTATACTTGAGATTTAGCTCATATAGAGCTATTGCCTCCGCTTTTTCGATATATTCTTGTTGTACAATAAATTTGTTATTTAATTTAAGTTTTTCGAGTTCATATTTTTTCTCTTGTTTAATTTTTTTAAGCTGTAATGTTTCTTGAACTATTTTCATTTTTTGCTCTTTTAATTGCTTGTAAAATTCAAATTTTTCCTTTTCTAATTGCAACTTTTCCTTATAATATTCCTTTTTATCTGGTTGAAGATGAAGAAACTCATTTCTTGCATTACTCGAAGCGCTTTGTTTGATTTCTTTTTCTAAATTGCGGCCAGCGCCTGTTGGAGTTTCAAACAACTCTTGGCTTTTCGAAGAGTAAAATAATTCTTCAAAACTTTTTGCAGAGACAGATAATTCTTGTGAATTTGGAATTGTTCTAATGTCCATGGGGTCAGGAATTATAACTTCATTTAAGCCATCAATTTCAATTAATTCTTCATCAAGTATTGGTGAGGTCAATATCTCTTCGAAATTTTCGGTATAAGTTCGAATATCACGGTTTGGTTTTTTACCAAAAATTCCATCAAGTATGTCAAAATGTGGACAAATTTCCAACATTTTATCTAGGAACATATAAAAAAAATGTAAGTATTAATATATATATATATATATATATATATGTGAGTATTTTCAAGGTTACTGGATTTCACAACAAATCTTGTTGAGAAACAACTATTTTTCAATGTTTTGTATATAAAAATAACTTTATTTTCGCATTACCGAATTTTAAGGTTTTAAATTACTGGACATTAAAAATAACCAAGAAACCCACTGTTAAATCATGCCCATAAATCATTCATAATGACAACTTACCCTCAACATTACCCATATTTTCTGTGTTTCTGCCATTGTCAATCATATTTTGTAATTTAATAGCTTCAAAATATCTTCTTCGTAAATAAAACATATTCCATTTCAATAATGACCATGAGGTCTTCAAATTTTTTTCCTTTATCATATTTAAATAGTACTTTTCTGGTGTTGGCTTCTATAAGAAAGAGCAAAAATCTCTTTAGCAATATTTATAGGAAAATATATATTAATTAACCTCAAAGTTTGGGTGAGAAAGCACATAATCCAGCATACTATCCATTTCGGAATTAGTGCACTTTTTTTGGAATTTATAGTCACGATTACCAATTCTATACTTGTTCATTGTGTAAATTTAAGCGCAAACGTTGGCCGCCAATGAAAGGCGTTACTCGTTGCGTATTTCAAATTCAAGTGAATTCACTTCAAAGAAATACAAAGTGACAGCTGTCAAAATTTTGCAAATCAGCATTGCCAAGAATAAAAGTAATAGCGTTTTTTTTAACATAATTGCATAAAGAATATCGTAAAATAACATTATCATAATTTGGTTTGATTAAAAAAAAACATAAATGAATAATTTAAAGAGCATAATTTACTCTCAAATTAAAAATTTATTGACAAATGGTCTTTAAATGAAAAAAAAACTTACGAGTTCTAACTGGCAATGCTTAGTAAAAGCGGAAAGTGTAACAGAAGAAAAAAAGTAAAAATAACGGGGTTTCACCCATTTCTATTACACTTTGTTGTTGTGTTTATTGTGATTCCTACTGCTTTGTAACAAGTATTTTTTACATTTAGAAAGTTATTAATAATGCTACATTCAATAAAATTACACAGCAAACGGAAGATTGCCAAATTTTCCGTCAGGTTGCTATTGTAGTTAGGGGACAGACAATAATATATTAAGAATTATAAAAAAACTTGGGATATAACGACAGCGATGAAAATAAAAAACTTATTTATTAGCTTACATTCATTATCTTTAGTTTTTATTAGTTTTATTATTTTCAGTGTGTTTAAGTGTCCATAAATTAAAGTTTTGATACAGTTCGCAAAAGTGAAAACATAAAATAAATATTTATAATATTGTGAAATTGAAATTGGTTTCATTGCTGAATTTTAAACTTGAGCTCAAATGAAATCTCTATAAAAAGTTTCTGTCCACTGGTGACGTATCTGCTGACACTGCTTTTAACTTGAAGTTGTCCAAGTTTTTCACTTTCAACCACGCTAGAAACACCTTTTGTTTTTAGTTTAAACATCAAACATTTATACGATTTATAGTTGCAAATAAAAGAACTAGTGTACACGATAGCAATTTAAAAAAAAAAAAACACTCCAAAATCTATGTTTTAATAGTTGACTGCAGTGAATAAGTAATTTACAAACATATTTATTTGAAGAGGAAACTAAAAAAGAAAACCAAAATTATTAAAATTTGAATAAAATATATTAAAAGAAAAAACCAACCTGTAAGGATAGCCTTGCGCCTTTGAACGAAAGACAGATAACAAGAATGAAAAGAATATTGCTACTAAAACTAAGCCTATAATAGCTGTAATACGTCCTTTGCGTTGATCATTCTGTGAACCGCATTCGGTAAGTAAAATCATGCCCAGCACAATCATGGCATCTAAGAATAGAATTAAAACAAGACAAAAATGTTTAATTGTTGAAATTGTTGAGTGTATAAGCATTAATCCTAATGCATATTGATGAAACTCACTTAAAAACATCACAATGTAAGTTTCCACCACAAGTTGACCTTGCGATGAACCGTGTATATAAGCAACACCTCCGTTTTGACTTTTATGCACTAACGGTGGTCCTCTAATATGATTCCACATTTGTCCCGAAATCATAGCGAAACAGAAGAATACCGCTATTGCACCCCAAATTTGTTTATTATATAGAAATTCTAAATTATTTCTACGTATATATAGGAAACCACCGACTAAACACACCAGTGTTATCATAGCTACAGTACCGGAATAATTTGGCGGTCGGAAAATACGCACTTGTACATCGGTACGTTCGGCTACAAATTTCGCTATAGATTCAGCAGCAAAACCAACACGATGTATATCCATTGTGTCAGCACCTTTCGGTTTACCCTTTGCTGGGAAATGCATAAATACTGGTGCCATATTTAGACGCAACATTTGAAATACATCGGAACCTTCGTCGAAGTCGACCATAGCAAAGAATAGCTTATTTGAGTATACAGGTGAATAGCGATATGAGTTAGCAACAATTGTAAATTCATCGTGAGCATGCCTACATATTTGACATTGTCTTGATGGTGCTAACGCTGTCAACATCACAATCACAGAATAGTTTCGCGGTGGATTTTTAATGTATTCACGAAATTTTTGGCCATTAAATCGTAGTAGCGCTTTTTTCAAATTCATATCGTGTAAATTTTGCACCTTCTCCGGTAAGGATAGTCCAACCTAGAATAATACATTAAGCTTAAAACTATATTTTCATTTTAAATATGAAAAGAACACATTAACCGGCGACTGTTCCATACAAATGGTTAAAATCCATAACCACAACAAATGACGTGGCCACCGGTTAATGTTTGCATCCATTGCCTTCATACCTTCTGTTTACCCTGTGCTGCAGTCATTACTAAAAATCCTGTTAGCACCAATATGGTACCGAAAAGTATCGACGTTAGTAACACTTTCATTTTATAGCCTATTTAATTATTAAATAAACGAAAAACTAATTTCCTATATATTTAGCATTAACCTGCACACAATTTTTTTTCAGTATTCTTTTTACACCTATTTTGCTGCCACAGCCGTTGATAGTGAAAAAGTGTTGCAACGTTACTCAAATGTAGTAAAAAAGTACGATTTTATTCAATTTTATTAAAACAACTGGAATATTTTGGGATAAACAACAAATCCTTAATTTAGTTTGACATTAAATTTATTTCAATAATTAAATAAAAAACTTATATTACTGGGAGTTAAAAAATATTAAATAAAGTTGACCAATATGCGTATTGGTCAGCTGACAATAGAATTGTATAAACCTACGTTAAACCTATGGTATGTGTAATTTTTAAACCCTAGATATAAAAACATTTATACAATATATATACTTCAGTTTATATTACTAGGTGTCTATACGCCTAGACTCAATCTAGATTTACTTTCAATTGTATTTTTTCTTAGTTTTCACTAAAAGTTGCACCCATAATTGCCATATTGAAATTTTTTTATTGTAACTTCATAAATTTATTATCATAAAGAGTTGTTACACCATTCGACAGTGTATATAAAATGAAGATTTTAAATAATATCTTCATCTATATGTTTTTTAAACATATAAAATTCAAAAAACACATAGATGCGTTTGATTTAAGTACATATATTTCACATTAATTATTATAAGCTTATACATTATGTCCGTCCTTTGGATGGTAAGAATATAAAAATTTTTTTTTGTCATATTATATATATTGTAAACGGCTTAAGCACTCAAAATAGATAAATAATCAGATAATCGATACATATATATAAATAAAATAATTGTCATTGTTTAAAAAAATATAACATAAATTCATAAATATCACAATTAAAATATATGTAACGACAAATAACATATTTAAACTTGTCATGCAAGAATTTCGCAAAAGTCTTAATTTTGTCTTCGTTTCAACGAAAATAAGTTGTTTTTTTTTTCCATACAAAATTTAGTTTTATGATTAGAATGAATTTAAGGAATATGATCTAAATTTCGTTGAAACGAAGCCTGAAATTAATGGAAATTTCAAATGCAACTATGCAAAAGGTAAATTTCAAGTAAAAGATAAGTTGAGATAACGAAAAGGTGATATTTATTTCTAAAACAGCTGATTTTAATAAAACCGGAAGAATATTTTGAAAGTTGTACAAATTTTTAATTTTGAATATAGAGAAAGAACTGTAACTGTTATTAATTTAAAATATAGTGAAAAATAGTAATTCACATACCTGAAATCTACTAAAGCTACTAAAACTACTGAGTGCCATCCTTTATAGTTATAATAACCAACTTTTAAAATTTCCCAGATACAAATGGTGTTTTGAGCATGTAAATTTTAACATTTGATTTGTAAACAAAAAACATATGATTTCCTTGATTTGAGAGAGTATGATTACTTTCAAAATTAACTTAATTTCATTTTAAAGAAATCAAAGAAATTTGACTTACTATATTCAGATTAACAGTTTGTTAACAAAAATTTAAACAAAATTAAGTTTCATAAATTTGAAAATAATGGAAATGAAATATTAGGCCTTTTCGGTGGCTCACAAGTATGGCACAAAACGCATGCTGACCTATATTCGCTAAAAGAGACAGTGGCATCACTCTTGCAATCTGTCAAGTGTTATGTTTTGACAAAAAGCAAAAATAGCATAATGCAAGCAATAATGCAATATAAATTGAAAATTAAATGAATACAAAATTAAAAGAAATGGTAAAAATGTTGAAAATTTCAAAATACAACACTGTGTTTGGCCAGTATAACACAACTGGTCGAAATAGAGAAAATAGTGTTGCTGATTTTTGCAACTTGGGAGCCATCGGAAACGGCTATTCTAAAATATCCAAAATTGTGGATATCAAATATTTTTAAAATATATAACCATATATAGAAAACATTATAAATATATATTTTTGAAGCACTTTTAAATTTGAACTTATCACTTGCTAACAAGTTTATACTTATTAAGGCATAAATAAACTATTATTAAAAAGAAAATTGTGAAAAAAAAAATTTTTAAAACTTCTTGCATTTTGAAAATAAAATACTTTTAGTTCATTACTCATTTTAATTTTTTATTAATTATTTATTTTTATCCAGAATGTAATTTGCATGCATTATGTACACATATGCAAGATTTGGTCTTTGCGAAAATATAACAGGTCTGTTCCACGAGCTACTCGTAGTAACTTTGAATAACACTGTGTATTGATAAGTGTGTTCTACCAGCAAATTTTCGAGTAAATGACAGCATCTGAGAGAGTATAACATCTCTGTCGAAATTTGAAAATGTTACACAGACTTTACTTGTGCATTTAATCAGCTGTTTTGGTTTGAATTTAATTTTTAGTGTTGTTTATTTACGCGGCACTCATTTTATTTACGTTCATCATTTCCACATCACACTACATATATAACGACATCGTTAAGAAAAAACATTAAAACATTTTAAATTTGCTTTACTGTCTTGATTTGGCTACCACCGACTCATTAAAATTTTTGAATATTTGCTACTAAAATATATTGGGAACCCTTTTCTACAAAAACACAAAACAAAATTATAAAATTTATTGTGAATACACACAAAGAGCAGTAAAGTGAAACGCATAACTTGCAATTGTGCGGGTTCTCTTAGTTGAATAGTAAAACAAAGTGTATATTTATAAATGCAACATATATAAATAATTTTTAAGAATAAATAAAATTTTGTGCTTATTAAATGAGTGATATATTGAGAAGCTCGCAAGAGCGTTCGCGGAAACGCAAGAAATTGTTGGCACAAACTGTAAATAAAGCAATAATTTATTCTTTACATTTTCTATATAAACATTTTATGCAAATTTCTATTTAAAGCTGGGTCTTTCAAGTGTAGATGAGTTAAAAAAGGTATTAGGATCTGGAGATAGTCTCAGTAGTTCCAGCAGCAGTTCATATGGCGTGTCGGGCTTTGGTAGCAATCGTGTCAACGGCAGCGGCCAACGTGATGACGAAGAAAGCGCGCAAAGCAGTAAAACTCCCGGTGAAATAATTTACAGAGATTCATCAACTTTTTTAAAGGTAAGAACTTATAATTGATAATTTATTAATAAATAACGTTTTGCATAAATAAAAATAAGTGTGAATTGTTTACGTCTCACACAATTGTCTTTTCTAACACCGAAAGATTTTTTATGTTAACATTGATTGCTTTGTGCTTATGAAAAAAAAATATTTTATGCACTATGACACTTAGCACATATAAAAGTACAATAACTACTATTTATTTAATATTATTATTAAGCCTTGCTTGGCGTCACATAATTCCAAGCTGCCTCTTTACTGGGCTAAGCTATCTACAAATTGCTTCCATATTTGTCTACTTAATGCCACTTCTCGGACCTCAACAATATGTATTTAATATAAATAATTTTATTTTTAGGGCACACAATCCTCAAATCCACATAATGATTATTGTCAGCATTTCGTGGATACTGGACAGAGGCCCCAAAATTTCATACGTGATGTGGGGCTTGCCGATCGTTTCGAAGAATACCCCAAATTGCGTGAGCTGATACGTCTGAAGGATAAACTCATTCAAGACACCGCTTCAGCCCCAATGTATTTGAAGGCTGATCTTAAAACATTGGATTTTAAGACGCTGGGCACAAAATTTGATGTCATACTTATAGAGCCGCCTTTAGAAGAATATGCAAGAGCAGCCCCTTCGGTAGCAACAGTTGGTGGAGCACCACGTGTATTTTGGAACTGGGATGAAATTCAAAGTTTGTTGCATTGTTTTTTTTTTTTTTTTCTTATGAAGTGATTATTAACTTATATTGATATACAGATCTCGATGTTGGCGAGGTTGCAGCACACCGTTCGTTTGTTTTTCTATGGTGTGGCTCATCTGAAGGACTGGATATGGGTCGCAATTGTTTAAAGAAATGGGGTTTTCGTCGTTGTGAAGATATTTGTTGGATACGCACAAACATAAATAAACCTGGGCATTCGAAGCAACTTGAGCCAAAAGCTGTATTTCAACGCACCAAGGAACATTGTCTAATGGGAATTAAAGGTACTGTACGTCGTTCAACGGATGGTGATTTCATACATGCAAATGTGGATATTGATTTAATAATATCTGAAGAAGAAGAATTTGGTAGTTTTGAAAAACCAATTGAAATTTTTCATATTATTGAGCATTTCTGTTTGGGACGTAGACGCATGCATATATTTGGACGAGATTCAAGTATACGACCTGGTTGGTTGACAGTTGGTCCAGAACTGACAAACTCAAATTTTAATGCAGATCTTTATCAAACATATTTCGCTGAAGCACCAGCAACAGGTTGCACTAGCCGTATTGAATCTTTACGCCCAAAAAGCCCACCCGCTAATAGTAAGATAATACGTGGCCGCGGCCGTGGTTTTCCACGTGGTCGTGGTAGGCCTAGGTAGATTTCGTAGAATTATTTACGTATTTATGAGATTCTTTTAACATTTAAATTAATTTTTGCAGAAGTCATAATCATAACTTTAGAAATATTTATTTTAATATTTAACGAAAGCAGTGCGGACTCTGCGATACTAACAAAACAACAAATCCATTTTCCAACATCGCCTATTTGACAACATCTGATAATTCTTTTTGTTCAGTTAATCATATTTTGTCGTTTATTAAACGATAGATATATGATTGATAATATAATTAAGTTTATTATTATTAAACGAAGATTATTATTAAAATTTCTTTGTCTGTTGCTATAGAACTAACAAGCATTCCTTTATAGGAGAACGTTTGTTAGGACCCTCGAATTTTTAATTGCACTGAGACATTTAAAAATAAAGTAATATTTTGTGGAAATGTTAATATAAACATTATGTGTTTATACAAACACGATATTTTATTAATTTTGTCCAGATGTTTGTCAAGTAGTGAAGTACACATCGAATACCTTTTGTACCATATATATTCCTAATCAATATATCAAGACTAATATCGATCAGCTATCAGTTGGACTGCCAGTCTGTATCGCAATTTGATCAAGGACTATAAGAGTCAGACATTTTAACATTTTTTAATTTATATAAATTAAATTTAAATATTAATTAAATTGTTTGATCATAAAATGTATTAGCAATATAAAATAATTTGAAAATTTTATAACAATTAAAGTAGTATATTCAAAAATTTTTGTCCAAAATATATGGAATTTAATATGGTATTACGATTGTTGCGATTAAGTATTTGTTGTTTCTTGACGATTGACACAAAAAGGCGGTCACTTACTACCACATTCTATTAACTTAGCTTTTGTTTTTTTTTAACTTTGCTATTTAAATTATATTAAATAAAATTAATCCCTGTTCAAATGAGATTTGGTGCACAAGGCTGGTATTCTAACACACCATTTGCTAAAATTAATTACATGTATGAAAATCAATGAATTGGAATCAAATTGCTGGCAAAAATTTATTTATTGTTTATGTATAATATAGACAAATCTCTGAAAGAATTGTAGTTAACAAAAAAAAATTTTTTTATTGATGAATATTTAATTTTGTAATTATAATTTTTAGAATTAAATATCCTCACTATGATCTCTTTTTTTTTCATTGTATTACAAATGTTGCAGAGATTTTAGATAGGCCAAGTAGAATGTTATATTTAAATATATAGTCTTAACTTGTACTCGCATTTTCTTGCTTGTGTATTGTGAACGACCTAATGTTAAGGTTTCACGACAGGTTTTGGTGTACAACATCGTCAATCCAACCTAATCTAACCTAACCGCCCTTTTGTAGTCGAAATAGATTTTTTGTCGTGTACGTTAAAATATAATGTATGTGTTAGAGTTGACCTCAGCAACATAGACCGTTTCGTCTTAGTGGATCCCAGTTTTTTGAGTTCAAAATCCCAACCTAATTTTTTTAACTTTATTTTAAATTGGTAGTTTTTGTAGTTCTTTTATGGTAATTGTTTAATTTTATCGCAGCCGCACTGTGTTTTTTTTATATGATATCAGGCCGTTTTATTATAAGCCAGCCGATACTTATAAAATGTGTTTTAATATAACATCAAAATTTTATAAAACGACGTAAAATAAAAATAAATATATGAAATTATCTTATTGTTTTATTATATAAAATTATGGACTATATATAACGTGGAAATAGTGTGTTCTCACTGAATTTTATAAATATAGATATATATATCATCTTATATAGATGTTTATATTATTTGCGAAAAGTTGTGTCGAACGATTGTTAGATTGGTTTTAATAATTGCGCGATGAATTTTTGACTAACCTGTAATTTTCTATACTGGTTGGACTCTGAAATAGTAGTTTAGTTTTAATATTCTTTATATATTTTAAAACTACTAAAGAAAAATCTTAGAAATCTTACTAAGGCTTGTAATCTTATATAGAATTCTTTAATTCGTACTTTAGTTACCTCAATTTATACAACTAGGTATCTAATTAATAAATGGATCTCAGCCGAGAGAGGTCGCTACTGGCGCGACAATCGAGGTAACCGTCAGGCTAAACAGTTGGTTCATCCATATAGTCATGGCAAGGCATCCCTCCTTAGCAGATCAGACTTGAGATTGCTGGTGGAATATTTAACGGGTCACCATGGACTGACATTAGGAATTCCTCAACGGACGACATTCTGGCTTTCATTGGAAAAGCGGAATGTCTTCTGTTCGGTTAGGGTCAGTTGCAACACAAAAGATCAATCTGGTCGCAGTGCACTGCTACGTTGGGAGCTAGTACCCCGTTTATTTCTATTCTATTCTATTCTACCTCAATTTACAATTTATTTAACTGCTTTTCATTATTTCATTACTTTGAGCGGTGATTCGTAGTCTCTGAGATTCTGGAGAGTCTATGTGATGGAGAGATAAAAAGAGGTTACCGAAAATCTAAAAAATCGCATTAAAAGCGGCATGCAATGCTGAATCGTAAACGATGAGACAACCTTGGGCCATATGCACTGGATATACTGCATAAACAAAACCAATCAATTATGTTTCCATAAAGGAACCAGAATGAAGCTAAGAATAATATAACTTAGAAGTAAATTGGAGAAGGGTTATGTTAGGTTACGCTGGCGTGAAGTAGCGACAGTTAAGCAAAAATTATGGCCTTTTATGATACTACGATGAAGGAGGAGGATTATCTGTTATTGCTGTATTGTATACTTGTTGTTGTATTAAATTAATAACAAATATTTTAATAATTTATGCACATAATTTATTATGTGCATGTAATATTATATTTAATTAAGCAAATATTAATTTTTTATATACATATTAATCTATAATTAATTAAATTTAAATAAAAGTTACATTCATTATAAATAATCGCGCTATTTAATGTTTTTGTTATATTAGTTTATGTTGCAGTGCTCCGCAAAATGCCGAGTGTTTCACTTTTTCTTGTTCAAGCTGTGATGCTTGTTTAGGTGGCTCATATAAACATCCAATTCATCTTCAGATTCGTCCGCAAGCTCTATAGCATTTGCGCTCCTTTCTTCAAATTCATCGTTATCGCTACTTTCAAAGTATGCATCTTCTTTGTCTTGTTCTAACTGCTTTAAATCATCTAAATTTGAATTATCATCCACTTGCGTATAATCGAAGTCCTTATCCTTACCAGACAAAAATTGTTCATACATTATATCAACAAATTCTTGACGCAACAGATTACGTTCACCAGCGGTGATAAATGAACGATTAGCGTCTATGTTATTTTTTGGCGACTGTTTCGGTTCAAAAGTTTTACGTTCACGACTTTCACTACAAGCCACTTTCTCATCATCGAAGTTGCCCCACTGTTGCCGAAATGCGGGTGGTACATTCACATCAACACTATTGTCTGACGCTTCAGTGTATGCATCATTTGTGCACTCATCACTCGAATCAGTTTCGATGATTTGTGCTTCCGCCGCATTTGGCAGTATAATTGCTCGTTGCTGCGCTGTGAAGTCATTCTCACGCCTGTTGCTTTCATCTGCGGCAGTTAACAGTTCCTGCATTTCTTTTCGCTGCACTGTATGCCACAAAATACCGGAAAATGAAGTATTCTTAACATCATAACTGTCGCGTATATCTTTCTCTGATTTTGACAGGTATTGCCCTACTAATTCCTGGTACAGTTCTGGTGCGCGAATCATCATTTCATATTCACTGAAATACTCACCTTTTTCAATGAGATTTTGCAATGCCACATAGCGTCGGTTTTTTATGGCCAATTCACGCGTGTGCAGTTTGTGTTGGAAATCAGTCAATAATAACCGCATCTCCTCGTAGTTTTCATCCATTTTGAGTGCATTGTCTGTGTGCTCCAACATGAGAATATTTGCAAAATTCGTTAATTGTTCAGCATTTAAGAAACAACCAAAACGCATGAGAAATGTCTGACGATTTTTGCTATAGATTTCTTTGGCAATGTCTACCTTTTCGTTCCGTTGCAATTCAGGATCGTCAATTTGCTGAGATTTAAATACAATTTGGTCATTTAAGCTTAAAAAGTCGAATATATTTGCTATTTCAGCAGGAAACGTAATTATTGAACTGCCAATTCTGGGTTGGTCCAATTTATCGGCCTCCGTTATTTCTACATCAGCTGTCATACTGAATATTCTTTTCAATATCTTATTTTAAGTTTAGTTACAATTCAAAATTTTGTTGACAAATCTTCACAACATTTATTTTCTTTTCAGTGCTATTTACTAAAATTTCAAATGGTTATCAAAACAGTGTTGCCAACTAAACTGTTATTTATGTATAAGAGCTGTTTAATAATTTCATTTATATAATAATTTAATTTTATAACGTGTATTTATTAGTTTACTATTTCATTTACTATTATTACCACTACTATTTATACTTCTACTATTATACTATACTGTTATATTTACTATTATACTAGTATTATACTATACTATACTATTATATTTACTATTATACTACTATTTATACTACTACTATTATACTAAACTATTATATTTACTATTATACTAGTATTACACTATACTATACTGTTATATTTACTATTATACTACTATTTATTATACTACTGCGGCGACAGTACAACCAACACGGCAACTCAGAAAATATCAAATTGTCATTATTGAAGAAAAAATACACCTGGCAATGCTTAAAAGATAAAAAGCATATGTAAATAGTGGATGGTTAATTTTCCTAGAGTAAACTTGTATAAGTTTGTAGAAAGTTGATTTGTATTGTTTTGTAGTTTAAATAAAGTAGTCAAAAGAAACGACCAAAGTGGTGACCCCGACGCGCAAATTAAAAAAACTTACAGAACTAATTTTTTAAAAGAAAAAAAGGGCAAAGTAAGATTAGTTTTAGAAACGCTAAACAACATTCACTAAAACTATTAACGGGCTTATCCAACACGCACATCGTCATCACAAGTTGCAGAGCAAGAGTACTTGGAACAGCTAAGGTGGTGATTCCGTTGGAAAATCGAGCAAAAACACTACAAAGCAGTGCATCTTACGCAAGAGTACACGAGCAAGCTGCGTTCCAGACAGGCACACGACAACATGGCTGTAAATGCAGAACAAACTGTAAATCCATCAGTAGACTCCACTGTAATGAACATGAGACACAATGTGAGATTCCCGAACTTCAATAAAACCAACCCATTAGTATGGTTCGCGCAACTGGAACGAGTCTTTCGTTTAAATAATATTCGAGGAGACACAGACAAATTTGATTGGGTGGCAGTAAATTTAGATGAAGACATTGTGGTGATTGTTGAAGATCTAATTACAAATCCCCCAACGAACAATAAATATGAAACACTCAAGGCACGTTTGTTGGGGAAATTTGCGGAATCAGCCGAATCCAAGTTGCGGCGCCTACTACAAGGTGGAGATACTACAGGTATGAAGCCGTCGGAAATACTTTCGAACATGAGACGTCTTGCACCGGATCCAAATAGCGAACAAATTATTCGTACGCTTTTTCTCAGCGAAATGCCCAAATCGATTCGTCCGGTATTGGCAATTTGGGAAGAGGATGATCTAAATAAACTTGCCAAGTTAGCTGATAAGATGCTGGAGGCTTCAACAACAAACGCAATGTACATGTGTGAAGTATCGCCACAGGCTAAGCAGGCCACGACAACTGTGTGCAGCACAGCACATAATGATTTGTGCACAGCTGTTCAACAACTGACCGACCAGGTTAAAAAGCTGCAAGTTGAAGTTAGCCAACTCAGGAAAGCAATCACGAGTCGCAACAGTTCTCGATCGTGCTCACCCAAAACTGTAAGCGATGTCAACGGTCAACAGCGACGTCATGGCAAATTGTGTTACTATCACACCAAGTTTAGAGACGGTGCCATCAAGTGCAAGCCAAGCTGCTCACGATGGGCACCTTTAAACTAAAAAAGCTGTCGTCAAACACACTGGTTGATAGCAGTAGCAAACAACTTGACCACATAACCAGTGATTCATCAGTAGCAGAAAAACAACCACTTATAAATAGTGAACGTCTTTTTGTCGTCGATCGCAAATCATGTTTTCGTTTTTTGGTTGACTCGGGCTCAGTTGTATCAGTAGTGCCATGGCATTTGATGAAATTCAAAACAACACAAGAAGAGCTCCAACTATACGCAGCGAACCGAACTCTCATTACCACTTTTGGCAACAACATAATGGAATTAGACCTAGGTTTACGGAGATCATTTAGGTGGCAATTTATCATCGCTGATGTCGAAGTTGGTATTATTGGTGCTGATTACTTAAACCATTTTCATTTGTTAGTTGATCTGAGAAACAAACCACTTATAGACATGACGACGAAGCTTAACACACGAGGTGATCTTTCAGCTTCTCCGCCATCAACCATATCTACAATAGATGAGACAGCCAAGTTCAGCAATCTGCTCAAAGAATTCGTTGATATTACACGACCAGTGTTGAAACAGTCACTTCACGACACTCAAAAGCATGGGGTGACTCGTCAAATTGAGACAAGAGGCAACATTGTATTTGATCGTCCCAGAAGGTTATCTGGACAGAAACTTGCTGTGGCAAAAGCCGAAATCACTCTATTACTGGACCAAGGTATTTGCCGTTTGTCAAAAAGTCCATGGGCAAGTCCCCTACACATGGTGGCGAAAAATAATGGTGGCTGGCGTGCTTGTGGCGACTATCGAAAGTTGAACGCAATAACGATACCGGACAGGTATCCTATCGTTCATGTGCATGATTTTGCGGAAAAGTTACACAACAAAACGCTGTTTTCAGCACTCGACTTGGTGAAAGCATATTACCAAATCCCAATGGCAATGGACGACATTCAAAAAACTGCTGTGAGCACACCTTTTGGCCTGATTGAGTTCCAGTACATGCCGTTCGGATTGAAAAACGCGACGCAGACATTCCAACGTTTCATGGACCAAATTTTTCGAGGCCTTGATTTCGTGAATTGCTATATTGACGACATTCTCATAGCTTCAACGTCCATAGAGGAACATAAACGTCATCTCCGAACAGTGTTTACCATTTTGCGCCAACATAGACTCAGGATAAATGTCAATAAATGTCAATTTGGTAAATCGGAAATTCTCTTTCTGGGCTACACGGTCAGCAAGAATGGCATTAAACCACCACAGGACCGCATTGAAGCAATAGTGAATTACAAACAACCTGACACAGTCAGTGACCTAGCACGGTTTCTAGGTGTTCTGAATTACTACCGGCGTTGTATACCACACTTATCGCAACATCAAGCACAGCTTAGTGATCTGGTACGAAACATCAAAAAGAATGACAAACGAAAAATCTCTTGGACTCCCGAAAGTCTCGATGCGTTCAATAACTGTAATCACAGCGTTGCGAATGCTGCACTAATTGCACATCCAGCACCTGATGCTGAGCTGGCACTTATCTGTGATGCATCTGACGTTGCTATTGGCGCGGCCGTAGAACAATATGTCCAGGGCACTTGGGTACCACTCGGATTTTTTTCGAGAAAACTCTCAGCAACTGAAAAAAATTACAGGGCATATGATAGAGAATTATTAGCAATCTACAGCGCCATTCGTTTTTTCAAACACCTCCTAGAGGCACGAGTTTTCGTCATTAAAACGGACCACAAACGCTGATATATGCTTTCAAACAGAAACCAGAGAAGACGTCACCACGACAGCTCCGCCATCTCGATTATGTTTCCCAATTTTCAACAACCATTGTACCTATCTGGAAGTGACAATGCTGTGGCAGATGCTCTTTCCCGCATTTCAGCTGTATCGCTGCCAACTGCTGTCAGTTTATCAACCGTTGCAGAGGAACAACAAAACGATCAAGAGTTAAAAACGCTGTTGCACGGGGAAACATCTTTGAAACTGCATGCAATTGTTTTCAACGACAAAAATTCTTTGTTCTGCGATGTGTCTACAGAAACAATTCGGCCATACGTGCCAGTATCTCTGCGTCATAAAGTTTTCGCATCAATTCACGGCATGTCACACCCCAGTGGAAGATCCACCCTGCATCAGATAAAACAAAAATACGTCTGGCCTTCCATGCGAATTGATATAGTTGAATGGGCGCGAAATTGTTTACCCTGTCAACGAGCAAAAATACACAGACACAATAATTTTCGGCCAATTAAAATCGACATGCCAGACAACCGTTTCGACCATGTACATATCGACATCATTGTGATGCCAATGGATAAAGGGTATCGCTATTGTTTAACAATGATTGATCGTTTTTCAAGGTGGCCTGAAGCTATACCTTTAAAAGACATTACGGCAAATACCATAGTATCTGTTTTTTGGTCAAACTGGGTGGCGAGATTTGGATGCCCGCAAACCATAACAACGGACCGGGGCCTACAATTTGAATCAGCTTATTTCAAAGCCATGACCAAAATGATAGGAGCAAAACACGTCCATACCACGTCATACCACCCACAGGCGAACGGTATGATTGAACGCTGGCACCGTTCTTTAAAAACAGCACTAATGTGTCACGAAGTAGAATCCTGGATAGAATTACTACCAACAGTCCTGCTAGGCCTACGAACGTGTTTCAAGGAAGATCTGCAAACTTCAACTGCTGAGATGCTGTATGGTTCCCCGATTCGACTACCGAACGAGTTTGTTGAGGACGACCAACAATGCACCAGTCCGCAGATTTCCATAGAATGGTTTCGCAAACACATGCGATTAGTGCGACCAATTCCCGCAAAACATTTTTGTATATAAAGCATTTAATTACCATTTTGTACAAAAAAATTGTAATATAAATTTAATAACAAGTTTTAGTACATAATTACAAAACTATAATTAAACAAATTTATCAAAATTTTACTCACTTCAGCATTTTCAAATTTTCAAAGTTTATTTTGAATAGATTTTGACATTTCTTTTTAACTTCTTCTAAGATGTTAAAAAAATTTAGGATATAAACCTATTTGAAGAGTTGCACAGAAAAATAATTACTATTTCTATGGAGATAAAAAAATAATCAAAAGGAAATTAATTTTGTATGGGAAATCTGAGCTTAAATACGAGATTAATACTTTAATCTCTATTATTGCTTTAAACTTCTTTTAATCGCACAATGTAAACGTGGTGTTACTCTATTATGTATCATACTAAAGTATGATTCACTATACAAAGTGCGTTCCTATATAAATGAGCTTATTATCAATAAACCAATTCATTTGAGTCGAAAAATACGAAATGCACAAGGAAAATTACTAAAATTTGAAATATGTGTTATATGTGTGGTGCTTCTGTATTACCACTTTATTAATTATTAAAGCACTTTGAAATGTTTGTTGTAAATGTTTATTATTTTGCAAGCATTTATTATTTTACACGTAATTATGTGATTTTTTCTTTTGCTTTTGAGAAAACTCGCTAAATACCAGTGGACACTGGACCATTAAGTTATACTTTGGTTTTTACATCACACCAGATGGCGTTGCGCTGGTTAATGTGTTCGCCACATATGTTTCATATGTATAATGTAAACAAACAACAGTTGAGCTGTACATAACCGTACTGAGAAAGTAAGTATTTAATAAAATCTTCGTTTTTATTAATTGATGTAATTGATATATAAATGAGAGATAGTGAGATAGTGCGAATGCACTATTGGCAACCTTAAATAAGTTAACTGGCCTAACGAAAACAATGAAAACATACTGTAAATGAGACAATTGGAAACATGATATAATTCAGCCTCAATGTATTTTGAGCTAGATTGTGTATATACTCTTATTACAACCATCGATATGTGAAATTGTATAAGCTGTAGAGCAGATCGTTTTTGGTTAGGCATACGTAGCTGGAATTAAAAACATAATAGTACAAAAAAATTATTGACAGAAAAAGTTATGTATACTAAAGATATACAGCAACAAAAAAAGCAAGCATTGAAAAGTTTTCTCTTAGAAGTAGTTGGTCTCAGTGTTTTATACTATTTTGGACATATGTGCGATGCAAATATATATATATGTAAGCATGTTAAGCAGTTATATAATATAGTCAAGCAGTAGCAGTGGTTAAGATCAGCAGTCAAGTAAAAGTCGGTCAAGCAGTTTTATAGTCAAGCAGTAATGGTAGTGGTAGTGAAGTCAGTAGTCAGCAGTCGGCAGTAGGCAGTTAAAGAGTAAGGTCGTGTATATAATTGGAGCTTGTCTTTTACATTTGGGTGCTCAACCAGGACACACGCACACTATGAAGAAAACAGATATACCTCGAGAAGTAGCCCAATGGATTTTTTATCTACAAGACTTTGAGTTTCAAGTCGAACATCGACGTGCAGAAAGGATGAACATATAGATGCACTTAGTCGTAATCCAATTGAAATAAACATCATTAAATCAGAGGTTTCTGCTAGAATTGGGTATTATTCGTTTTGATAAACAAGGAGTTCGGTCTAAATTTCTGAATTGTCACGAAAATATTTGATTATAATTTCAAAATATTTACATTTTTCAACACTAAAAATGTTAGAGATAAATTAAGAATTTTATCAGCTGTTTTTGTTGTTGCACTAATAATAGCATTTCCAATCGCATTTCAGTAATAAATTAGTTTCTAGCAATAAAATTGTTTTTTATAGTAATTAGTCATAATAATACATAAGCAACGAATGAGATTCAAAGAACTGATACTAAATTGAAAATTTAAATATGTTTCCGCATAATATGTAAGTCTCAGATGTATGCGCGGTACTTACATGTAATAATTTGAACTGAGCAATCTACGTAAGCCGGCTTATCGGAGCAATGCATTTAGACGAAAAAATAATTATATGCTGTCTGATAGGGATTATATATATAATTGTTAAAACATGTAAATTACAACAAAAAAACAACAAAAATTAAATTCTTCGTTGTGCGTATTAAGAATTTCACAACAGTGTTTTGCAATAAAAAAAAAAGAAGAAGAAAAACGAAAGCAAAAAGAGAAAAAGATTCGCGCTTTGTTAATTGAATTAATTTGTTGATATTTGGTATTTGGTTGCGGCGACGTTGCAGTCGTCAACAGAGCCTAGCGTTTTGAGTATGAGCAACAGTATTATAGATATGTATTACCAGTGGAATTGGACGGAATTCTGTCCAACTGGCATCAAGCCATTTTCCAACAGTTCAAATGATTTACTGCCGTGCTTCCAGGAAATTGTGCTCCAATTTCCTGTGTACGCAATATTTGCAGCAATTTCGGCATATAATTTTGGCGCATTTGTGCGTATGGTGACAAGGAATCCACTACAATTGCGTTTAATATATGCACGCATAGTCATCACTGTTGTACTAGCACTGCTGCCAGTGTGTAAGATATTCGTATTTCATCATTATGGCGTGCCAGTAACAGCTGTTGATGTGCTTATTGTGTGCGCGGAATGCCTTATGTGGATTGTACATGCTGGTAAGTGTCGAAATGTTAGAGATTATTAAACGCCAAATAAAATTCTACACATTTTTCCTCTCAATATTGCAGGCTATCTGCTGGCAGTGCGTAAATTTGGTATATTAAGTCATCGTGGTCCGCTGTATATGAATGTACTTTGGCTGTCGATCTTTGTTTTGGATGCTATTTGGTTGCGTACAAGTTTAAATTATGATTGGTGGCCTTGGAGTTTAACTACGTTAATATTTGATATACTCTATGCTTTGACACTTTTACCAAAAGGTAACGCCACATTCACTCCACCACAATTTACACGGGATTCCGTAAGTAACTAATTTTGTGAATTGAAAAAAAAAAAAAAATGCATATAAAATTATATTCAGGAACATGAAGCACTGCTCGCCAATCGCTATACATACTTTCAATTTGATTTCAATGAAGCACATTTGGGACATGCACAGGATGAAGCTAATATTTTGGGGCGTTTATTTTTCAATTGGGTAAATCCATTGATTACTAAAGGTGTGTCGGGTAGCTTAAGGAAAATTGAAGACTTATTCGATTTGCCTGATTCGCTGAATATCGCACGTCTAAGTGAAAGTCTACAGCTTAGCATTTCACGAACAAAAACGTTGTTCTGGGCATTGCATAAATCTTTTGGACGTGAATTTTATGCAATCGGTATTTTGCGTTTTATTGCAGATGCAAGCGGTTTTGCTGGTCCATTATTATTGGGTGGTCTGTTAAGCCAGCAGAATGTGACAAATGAAGAGCAAGTTAATGCTACACCCTATTTGTATGCTTTTGGACTTTTTGCTACAAATATGCTATGTGAGTTTATGTTTTATTATGTATATATTATTTATTTTATTTAAAGTTTTTAATTTCTCTTTGCAGCTGCTTTCTGTGGCACACATTTTAGGTGGCGCATGTCCATAATTGGTATGAAAATGCGTATTGGTGTTGTTAGTGCAATATATCGCAAAGCTTTGGAAGCACGCGGACTCAAAGATTCGCGACCAGAAATTTTAAATCTCATGTCAACTGATACTGATCGCATTGTGAATTCTTGCATCAGTTTTCATTCCTTTTGGAGCATACCACTCCAAGTAAGTTTGAACAATGCTATCAATAATGTGTATGAGCTTATCATTTTTTTCCTATACTTCTCACACATTCTAAATGAGTTTCTATAGGATTGTGTGAGGATAGTGGCAAATTAATTTTATGTTTACAATATGTTGTGGCTTAGATTTCTTCTAAGACACAGTTTGGTGTTGACATTAGAAAAATAGACTAGATTATAGTTCCTAAGGACTGAAATAAAATAAAAAAAACAAAATAAAAAAACGGCCGTGTGTACATCTCGGACTCACTCGTCGCCAGCGACGACCTAGTGCCGTTGGACACTTCCTAAAAGGACTACACAAGCAGGTCTCAGCGGGTTACAACAACAACAACATAAAATAAAATAAGACGAGACATTAAATAGATAAATTGAACAGAACCGTTCAAAGAATCGTCTTATTTTAAAACATCAAATACGTAGTAGAATTTCATATTGGAATGCTATTTTTGATAAACTTTTTCTTTAATGAAGTTATATCAGGGATGTTGTTGTTGTCTTTGCAATAGACGTGCTTGTTAGGGCCCTGGTGAAAGTAGTGGATGGTAGTTATATTTTTCTATCAATAAGATAATGCATAAACGACCTAAACTATTTAATTATTTATACAAATAATCATATAATAGAATTTTTAAATTGTATTTAAATTAACATCACACAATTAAAATAATAATA